ACACCGAATGTTATATTTTCCTTTAAACAAACAATTTTCTTCACATTTGGTGAGAAGGGATATCCAAAACGATTTTGTTATTATTATATGAATCGCCGGTAGCTACTACCTTGATAATTTCCTTTCATGTATTTAAAGTTAAAACTTTAATCACAGGTTACGTCATGCATGGCCATTTCATTCGCGGGAAAAGATACACATTTCCTCGTCGATTGCCTGTATGTCTGAAGAAAAATACACCTGACAAAATCTTTCACAGTATAATTTACTAGCCGAGAAATGCAACAACATTTCTCCGAAATAGCTTTTATGTGTTCACAGAGATTAATGATAATGAATAATGGTTGTGTAACCTACCTATATCTATCTATAGATATCAGTTGTTTATAACCGTGTATTGTTGGACGATAGACCATGAACGTTCATGTACATTCAATTCAACACGCGAAATTCTTATCAAGCGTCTATTCGAATTCAACCTGTCTCAATTTAGTAGAGGTTTTGTTCCCGACATTGTTAATATTTTACAAAAATACAATTTGTATCATGTTATTGATGAATTTTTGAAGAGTGGTGTATTTCCAAACAAATGTCAAATTCAATGGAAGCGTTGGGTCAATGACCATGTAAAAAACTATGAACAGTTTAATTTATGTGAAAGAATGAACGCTGATAGGGACTTCTCTCGCTTCACTCTTTTACATAATAAGATACAACCGTATGCTGTATGGAAAATTGCTTTACGCTTTCCACAATACAGTCCATGTTTAAAGTAAGTTGTTAAACTTTGTGTTGAAATGCGCGATAATGAAAATATATATTTGTGTCATTACTGTGGATCTATGCACAAAGATACTTTTATGCATAGTGTACTCGAATGCTCACACACAGAGCTATTACGAAACCAGCTCTGGTGTGTACTCAGTACTGTAAAAGATATAGATTTTGTGTTTAATCTTAATGTAATGTCTAATTACCATCTACTTCATGTTCTTCTTGGTGGTATTTTCAACTATGATTTATCTCCATATGAACTGGAGGACTTTAGAATAAAATCCATTGTTATTATTACTAAAATTCTTCAATACAGTTGTATTATGTAATTTATCCTTAGATATTTGAATGTTGTATACTGAGAAATATGATCACAAATTTACTTGTGTGTACCTCACGCTTCAGCAAGATTAATACATGAAATACATATATTTTTGTAGTCATATTAGTAGGCAAGCATTCCCTACGTCTTTTCTGTTATACCATTGCACAATTGGGCTGCATGATTAGTGCAACTTACTACCATTCATAATATTGTTTGTATTGTATGAATTAATCTTGTGATATGTATTACTACAACTGAAATCATTGCATGGTTGACCTGTTTCTTCAAGTTAATCATTATATTGTATGTTGTGTATTTCACACCACTGTATGACTATATTGTATGACTTCGTGCAACGGGTTCTACTCAATGTATGATTGTATTGTAAGACTTATGTTACAGTAATACTGTCTATAATAATGCTGTATGATTTATAGTGTGCTGCTTGTAATACTGTTTATTACAATGCTGTATGATTGCTTAGTACGAGAAGTGTATTACTGTCTATACTATCATATGATAATGTAGTTTGAGGAGTGTAAATATGTCTATTATATCAATGTATGATGTTATGTATGATTAGTGTTATACTGTCTATCATCATAATTATCATCGTATAATGACTGTAATAGTACCTATTATATCATTGTGTTGTGTTTATAGTACTTTATGGTATGATGCGGGTACTATTATTATTCTCTTATGTGTGTGTCTGTCCAGGTGCATGAGTGTGTCACTATGTAAGGGTGTGACCATGATTGTGAATGCTCTTTCTTCTCTTTAAATAGTGTTGAATTGTACGTGTATTGTTCGTTATTTCTGTAACTCTTCATTTCTGGAGGAAATAAAGGAAATAATAATAACATTATCTATCTTGTTTATATATATACCAATTTGAGGCATCGCTAAACATCTTACATTTGTATATATCGTAATAAAGACGTTGAAGTCGAAATCTTTGATGTTGCACACTGCTAATGGATGCACTTAAAATTTAAGTATTTTTATCCACCCACTTAGTTATGGTGCTATTGTAAAAGGTGTTGGCCTAATTTACTAGCCGAGAAATGCAACAACATTTCTCCGAAATAGCTATTATGTGTTCACAGAGATTAATGATAATGAATAATGGTTGTGTAACCTACCTATATCTATCTATAGATATCAGTTTGTTTAATAACCGTGTATTGTTGGACGATAGACTATGAACGTTCATGTACATTCAATATTGTATGCATTTGAAGGTTTAAAAGAATTCTATTTATATCTATATCCTGTCTAACTCACGGTAATTCCGCCGATCTTACCACGACAGTCGGACATGAAATCTGTCAAACGCTGATTTCATGTGTTGACGAGCGATGCCAATAGAATGGTATATAGAAAAGGGGATGGTTTCTTTCTTGTTTTCTTTTAAAGGGACACTGAGGAAATAAAGAAAACATCGCTGTATCCCACTGCATGTGTATCGTGAAAGGCGACTAATGTGGGGCCCCTGCAGAATCGAGTTTTTTTCTGTGTCTTCTAATAAGGGAACATGGACGAGGCCAAAATTCATCTGCTGCCCCCAATTGCAACACTTGGTTTCGTTTTCGTTTCCGATCTTTCCTGTCTTCTGCCTTTATCTTTCTACCTTTAGTTTCCGGCGGTGTCTCTCTAGGCAAACAAACTATCAGAAGGTTCTTTATTTACAAATTATTCTCAATCATTTATGCGGTAAGTTTTTTTTCTTATAATTCAGTTTTAAGTTAACGAATGATTTCTTGACATATTACGTGAATAAATCACTACTATTTTTTATATTTGAGGAATTATAGTTTATCATCACAACTTTCGCGGTGCAAAAACTAGGATTTCATCATTGCGTAAAGACAGAGTGACAATTCATTTTGAAATATCATTATATTTCCCCTTATGTTCTCTTACCCTGACAAGCGTATCCACACGTTTTTCGGTGTGTGATAAATAGAATATCTCACCCTCCTTGGGGAAGTTTCTTAAATTGCCAAAACACGAGGCTTTGCCAATCAAGGGGGTGAATGATTCTTTTTGTCTTGTTCAGCTATGTTCACACATTGTGTCTCATAAACATAATGTATTGTTTACTTAATAGGCCAAATACATGTATTGTTGAGGTGACGTCATTGTATTGTATACGAGACGTCACACAACTGTTATGAATAGGGGAATCCCCCCTCTCAACCATAGGGTATCCTGCTCAATATTGTATCCCTTGGGTTTTAATTACCTTACACATACCTCACATCAGGGATGGGTTCTGTTACAGATGCTCTTCTAGTACAGTTATAACCTGTCCACTTAGAGTGTGACATCCATGTTTATGACAATATAGTATGTGGATAGTGGTGGAAAATTCGTTTAAAATGATAACATATCTTAAAACCGAGATATGCTGTGGTGTATTTCCATTAAAGACATTTGAAATAACCAGTTTTGCCATATAAAAGTAATAGACATTTTCAATTAATTAATAATTTCCAATTCAAAGGAACATTTTTTGCAGTTATATGGGGACCTAAATGTAGATTAAAATTTCCCAAAAAAACTCATCAAGTTCAGTTTTCTGATTGTTTAAGATAAGATACTTAGACTGGAAATTGATACTGGTACATAAATCTGAACTGGTCAAGTGAATTAGAGTCTATGATACATCTGTAACACACAAAATAAAACCAACAATCTTAAAAGGTAGCGTCGACCACAGTGTCGATACACAGGGATAAGACATTAGTGTGAGACTGAGATCTTCAAAAATTATACCGTCAACAAATAGAGACTATAATGACCTGAACGACCAAATAAAAGTGCAAATTGATAGAGACATAACGCACGTCTTAACAAGTAAAGTTATATAGAAATATATTAAAGTGTCACCAGAACCACACACAAATATGAACGACATGAAAAGAAAAAAGACTCTGATTTAAACTTGTTTCGTAATTGTTGTAAAATAAATAAAGTTTGTAGAATTAACAAGTAAATTCACATGAGTTATACATGTACTGGAGCACGAAACCACACCACCATGTCTCCACAACATTGTCGCACCCAAGTCTCAAAATTACAGCTTCAGATATACAAACATTTTGGACATCCCACATGTTAAGACTACTACATACGGTATAAAATCCTTCAAATATGCAGCAGTCTGTCTTTGGAATAATCTTCCTGAAAACTTTAGGACCACAACAAATTACGGCCATTTTAAATCTTTAATATCCTCCTGGAATGGAACCAAATGTAAATGTGCATCCTGCAAATAATAAATACCCACATTATTCTAACCTCATCTTCTCTTTATCCAGCCTACAGTGTCTCCATTGAAAACTTTTGATTTCAAAGCCTTGTTTTAATTTAATTTAATTCAATTTATTGATATATGGTATATGGACTTTTGAGTGTTTTGAAACACTATAACTATTATCAAAGTAATATATGAACAACATGTGTTTGATATTAGTAATTGATGTCTTAATGTATTGCATTTTATGTACCATGTATCTGTATGTGTATATGTATATGTCGGTCAAAAGCTCTTCAGAGCTTATGTTATTTTGTTATATACCCACCGACTTATTATCTTACGACATTCTAGGTAAGGCTTATCTATTTCCATGTAGATTGTCTTTGTGAATAACAATTATGCATTTAATGTCTTCAAACACAGTTTGGAAATCCGGTTCTTGTTCTCGGAATTGTCAACATCTAGAGACTCAAATTACCTGAATGACCAAATAAAAGTGCAAATTGATAGAGACATAACGCACGTCTTAACAAGTAAAGTTATATAGAATACGTATATTAAAGTGTCACCAGAACCACACACAAATATGAACGACATAAAAAGAAGAAAAAAAGTTTGGAAATCCGGTTATCACCTACCCACTCCTTAAATGGTTCTGCATTGTTAAGGAACCTATAAATGCCCAAGCACTTCGTGATTTTTACGGACATTGCAAAAGTCTTCAAACCACAGCACAAGTCGCATAAACGTAAGTGAATATTTTTTTACCTTGTTAAGAATATATACTACTTTAAGCATTGCTTTTTTTAACATTGTTTATCTCTTTTTATCTCATTCATTACAGTTTATATACTGCACATACAACTTTTCAATGTTCCTTTCAGATACGTTTTTTCTTAAAACGGATAAGGAGATATTGTGAATAATCTTTAACAATATACATATATAACTTGGGAGGCACGCTAGTCTAGTGCTAGGACGCTGGGCTCGTGACCGAAGGGTTGCGGGTTCGCGTCACGGCACGGCACTGTGTTGTACCTTGAGCAAGATACTTTACTCCGCTTGTTCCTGTCTAATCAGCTGTAAATGAGTACGTGGTTGGGCAGTGCTAGAATTGTTGAATGCTAGCTGTGAACGCAAAAATGGCAGCACCGGCTGTATGCTCCCCAGGGAGTTGAGGAAAATATTGGCTGGTTGCAAAGGCGTTATAACCACGGATAATAATTTGTGAACCACTTTGAGACGACCGACAAACTAGGTTGTGATAAAGCGGTATATAAGAACCTCAAATTATTATCATTATTATTATTATTATATAAATTGAGTTAAATATATAACCACATTATCTATTCCAAATCTATTAATAATTAAAGATGTTGCTTAATATTTGTTCCAGTATATATGTAATGCATATTGTCGATTAACGACTTAATTTCCTCGTCCTGGTTCGCAGCCACAGAATGCGTCTTAGACTGTTTGATCTAAATTTAGATTTAGATCTAAAACTAAATGTAGACACAGGTACTTACCTCGGTCATAACTAAACATATCGTTAACTTACATCATTTAAATAAAAACATGATTATTTGTTTAGTTCGGACAGTGATAAATGTTTATAACTTAGCAGAGAATGGCAACTACACCAAATTGGGCATCAGGGAACGACGCTACGGATGGTCCAACAGCCATAGGTAAATCAGAAATTAGATAACAATACATTATATTTACATTCTGCTTTGACCCATTGACGAAAATGACATTCATTTTTCCATAACACATGTGACCTCATCACTGCGTAGTTTTGTTATGCGGATATGATTAACATTAAACATGATTGGTTTGATTTTAAAGCTAGAATAAGATGTGTAAAGTATTTGATAATGATAAAAATATATGACTTGCATGAATTATACGAATTACAGTTTTGAAAATGGAACTATTTTTTTATTTTGTTTTGTTGCCATGCTGTTGCTAGGACTCTGAGCGAAAGTTTTACATTTTCCCGCGAAAACACGCTGTTCTCTCTACTGCGTTGCCCCCATGTATAAATAGAAAAAAATGACTGATTTTTATTTTATTTATGATTGCATCGGAAAATTTAAAGCCCTTTAAAAATGTAAATATAGGTCAGAACAACTTAAACGTAATATTCGTCATTTATCCCAAAAGTTGATTCATGACAGTTCATTTATCGCTTTCAAATATGATTATATTATTACTATTTAATGGAGACTGGCAGGATTGGGACTTATTATCATGACTATTACTATAATTGATTTCCTCAACAAATATGTTATACTGATTTTTTTTTAATTCCCTACAAATGTTAGTGTATTATTTTTTGTATTATATTGATTGACCAAACAACAATTAAATTGAAGAATAAAATTATTATAGATAATCTCCAGTCTGCGAAGGACGAGTATCAGTTGGTGGAATCCGTCCCAGGCCTTCCCTCTAGAGCAAGTATTTTACGCACTCGTTAGTTTATTATGTAGATTCAATATTATGTATGCTAAGCAGGTCAACACTTTGTAATTTTAATTATTGTATCAAGATAAAGCTTGAAGAGGAATATCACTGATGTCGACATGGTGGTTTTAAGGAGAATGGTTTTTTTATTATATCACAATAACGACTATGTGGAGATCGGGCATGTTTCATCTTGAAAATAAATGTACCATGTTAACTAAATAGTATTAACGTATTTTCTTTTTACAGGTGAAAACACTGCCAAGACAAGAGGCGTTTAGCTGGCACGAGACGGTTAATATTTCATTCATTTTTATATTAAATTACATATACACGTATACAGACCAGCTAACTACTGTGAGTAGTTTCGGAAACTAATAATATATATACATACATGCATTTAGCAGATTATAATTTTGCTGCTACTTATTGAGTGTAAATTTGTACACATATCCAATATACTAAAATATGATTCAAATACAAATGCAGTTAAACAAAGATTCGAACAATAAATCTTAAAATGTGTGCATAATTAGTTTAAAGATTTTCCGTGCGTAGAGTTGTTGTTTTCAACGAAGCAGTGATCAAGAAAACAAAAATTTGAAATTTATTTTGCATGAATCCATTTCATGAAACAGAAACTTTATAAAATTTGGAATTTGTCCCTACTGTTCCTGCATTTATATCCTAAAGCAACGATGGTTTTTTTTCTTCTCAGCTTCGCGCCTATGGTCTTCTTATTGTGTTGGGTAGTATTGGCTTCCTCATCGATAAATTTCTCACTTGGAAATGGGATAAATTGTCAGACCTTTTGAATGCGTATAGATGGAAACTTTCCAAACCTCCGACGGTAAGTACAGGCTGAGTTCATGTTTAATCATTTGACGACAATCAAACAAATGTGACCATATTTCATCTCAGTCATTACAAAATAGTTGTGATTTCTCTGTCCAATCAACTCTCTTTTGTATAAATTAACTATTATCTTCGGATTGAAACATTGATTTTTTTCAGACTGAAATTTGGAGAGATGATGCGTTCTTTGGAAGGCAACGTTTAGTTGGTGTTAACCCGTTCGTCATCCGACTCTGTACAGCAATACCAGGGTAAATAATAGAACAATGATAACAAAGAAATTTAATTCACTTTAGAGAAACCTCAGAATAATATCAAAAATCTAGCAGATGGATACCTGACACTCTAAAACCATCTTACTACATCTACTATCATTGATAACATCTTATTACAAGTACTACCAAAGATAACATCTTATTACAGCTACTACCATACCATCTTACTATATCTACTGCCAAAGATAATATCTTACTATAACTACTAGCATAGATACCATCTTATTACAGCTACTACCAAAGATACCATCTTACTACAGCTATTACTATGGTACCATCTTACTGCAGCTACTATCATAGATAACATCTTACTACAGCTACTACCACAGCTACTGCCACAGATAACATCTTACTATAACTACTATCATAGATACCATCTTATTACAGCTACTATCATAGATAACATCTTATTACAGCTACTACCATACCATCTTACTATATCTACTGCCAAAGATAATATCTTACTATAACTACTAGCATAGATACCATCTTATTACAGCTACTACCAAAGATACCATCTTACTACAGCTATTACTATGGTACCATCTTACTGCAGCTACTATCATAGATAACATCTTACTACAGCTACTACCACAGCTACTGCCACAGATAACATCTTACTATAACTACTATCATAGATACCATCTTATTACAGCTACTATCATAGATAACATCTTATTACAGCTACTACCATACCATCTTACTATATCTACTGCCAAAGATAATATCTTACTATAACTACTAGCATAGATACCATCTTATTACAGCTACTACCAAAGATACCATCTTACTACAGCTATTACTATGGTACCATCTTACTGCAGCTACTATCATAGATAACATCTTACTACAGCTACTACCACAGCTACTGCCACAGATAACATCTTACTATAACTACTATCATAGATACCATCTTATTACAGCTACTATCATAGATAACATCTTATTACAGCTACTACCATACCATCTTACTATATCTACTGCCAAAGATAATATCTTACTATAACTACTAGCATAGATACCATCTTATTACAGCTACTACCAAAGATACCATCTTACTACAGCTATTACTATGGTACCATCTTACTGCAGCTACTATCATAGATAACATCTTACTACAGCTACTACCACAGCTACTGCCACAGATAACATCTTACTATAACTACTATCATAGATACCATCTTATTACAGCTACTATCATAGATAACATCTTATTACAGCTACTACCATACCATCTTACTATATCTACTGCCAAAGATAATATCTTACTATAACTACTAGCATAGATACCATCTTATTACAGCTACTACCAAAGATACCATCTTACTACAGCTATTACTATGGTACCATCTTACTGCAGCTACTATCATAGATAACATCTTACTACAGCTACTACCACAGCTACTGCCACAGATAACATCTTACTATAACTACTATCATAGATACCATCTTATTACAGCTACTATCATAGATAACATCTTATTACAGCTACTACCATACCATCTTACTATATCTACTGCCAAAGATAATATCTTACTATAACTACTAGCATAGATACCATCTTATTACAGCTACTACCAAAGATACCATCTTACTACAGCTATTACTATGGTACCATCTTACTGCAGCTACTATCATAGATAACATCTTACTACAGCTACTACCACAGCTACTGCCACAGATAACATCTTACTATAACTACTATCATAGATACCATCTTATTACAGCTACTATCATAGATAACATCTTATTACAGCTACTACCATACCATCTTACTATATCTACTGCCAAAGATAATATCTTACTATAACTACTAGCATAGATACCATCTTATTACAGCTACTACCAAAGATACCATCTTACTACAGCTATTACTATGGTACCATCTTACTGCAGCTACTATCATAGATAACATCTTACTACAGCTACTACCACAGCTACTGCCACAGATAACATCTTACTATAACTACTATCATAGATACCATCTTATTACAGCTACTATCATAGATAACATCTTATTACAGCTACTACCATACCATCTTACTATATCTACTGCCAAAGATAATATCTTACTATAACTACTAGCATAGATACCATCTTATTACAGCTACTACCAAAGATACCATCTTACTACAGCTATTACTATGGTACCATCTTACTGCAGCTACTATCATAGATAACATCTTACTACAGCTACTACCACAGCTACTGCCACAGATAACATCTTACTATAACTACTATCATAGATACCATCTTATTACAGCTACTATCATAGATAACATCTTATTACAGCTACTACCATACCATCTTACTATATCTACTGCCAAAGATAATATCTTACTATAACTACTAGCATAGATACCATCTTATTACAGCTACTACCAAAGATACCATCTTACTACAGCTATTACTATGGTACCATCTTACTGCAGCTACTATCATAGATAACATCTTACTACAGCTACTACCACAGCTACTGCCACAGATAACATCTTACTATAACTACTATCATAGATACCATCTTATTACAGCTACTATCATAGATAACATCTTATTACAGCTACTACCATACCATCTTACTATATCTACTGCCAAAGATAATATCTTACTATAACTACTAGCATAGATACCATCTTATTACAGCTACTACCAAAGATACCATCTTACTACAGCTATTACTATGGTACCATCTTACTGCAGCTACTATCATAGATAACATCTTACTACAGCTACTACCACAGCTACTGCCACAGATAACATCTTACTATAACTACTATCATAGATACCATCTTATTACAGCTACTATCATAGATAACATCTTATTACAGCTACTACCATACCATCTTACTACAGCTACTGCCAAAGATAACATCTTACTACAGCTACTATCGTAGATACCATCTTACTACAGCTACTATCATAGATACATCTTACTACAGCTACTACCATAGATAACATCTTACTATAGCTGCTTTCATAGATACCATCTTACTACAGCTACTACCTTAGATAACATCTTACTACAGCTACTACCTTAGATACCATATTTCTGCTGTAGCTGTAGTAAGATGGTACCTGATGTATTAGCTGAAATAAAATGGCATCTAAGATAGTGCTTGTGGTTAGGCGGTATCTTAGGTAGTAGCTGTAATAAGTTTGTCTCTGAGGAAGTAGCTGTGTATTATGGGGTTTGAAACTGTAGCTGTAGGTTAGTTAATGTCCAGCTACAGTCTGTATTTTAGCGAGATACATGAATTCGCGAATCGTTGTCACGTCGCTAAATTAATTCCATAACAATTTTTTTAAATGACATTTAACCTTACATATATTTCCTATTTTGCTGTTGTTGTTTTGTTATCATACTTTCACATTATGTAATGATTATAACCTTACCGTTCGACATTTGTTTTCAGAAACATGAAAAAAAAACGTTGATAAACGAATGGAATCCCTACAGAAGGTTTTACAAGAGAAATCTGGGAAGACTGATTTCACCTTGGATACAGCCATCCATGAAAATAGACTGTTCAGTGTGGATTACGACATTCTAGACGGGATGAAGGATACATTTGGAGTAAATAGTCTCCTCAAGATAATTTTACACGTTTTCACCTGAAAATTAGCATTGAAAAAACATATTCGTTTCTTGTAGTGCAAAATAAAATACATGAAATAAGATAGATATGTATTCTCAATATGAAATATAGTAATACAGAATTAATGACAATGTAATGCTTGACTGTTTTATTTTCATTCAGCTATGTTCTCCAATTGCATTGTTCCTGGTGGATGCTGAAAATGAATTAATGCCCATCGCCATACAGTTGTACCAAACGGGAGAAAATAACCCGGTAAGTTTTCCAAAGAAATCTTAATGGATCATTGACTTTGCTTATGGCAATATATATATCATTACTTAGCTGAGCCAACGCTCGAAACGCTTTACAATACCTATAATGAGTAAAACCATATCGTTAAGTATGATGTCAATATTCAGTGTAAACTTATCTACAATCCATCAAAACAGCACAACATAACATAAAATATTGATTGACAAAAATCTTTTATGCAAACACACAAACTACGTAAACATAAGACAATACAACGTATATACAACGTCAAGTTAATACTAACGACGTAAACATGAATCAGCACTTACATTTATTTAAAAATCGACGTTGTTACAAAATCAATTTTTTTCCTGATTTATGTGATCACTCTGCATTATTTTTCAGATGTTTCTGCCCGAAGATCCAAGCTGGTTGATGGCAAAACTGTAGTTTAATCATGCAGACAGCTCCTACCAGGATTCGTTCTCTCACCTTGGTAAGCAATATACATAGACAGCTTTATTAAATCGATGGCATTTACCATGTTTTTACAATATAGTATAAAGGCAGTTACAGTTATTTGTTTTACTTTGCATTCGATAAATTAAAGTCACTGTGTTAAATGTATATAAAGTGATCGGTATATATATCTGACTTTCTATTTATCAAGATTACATTTTGCAGGTGTCACCCATCTACTGATGGAGAGTGTTGATGTAGTGACACATCGGAACTTAACAACGACACATCCTGTCTACGAAATCTTGGCTCCACATTTTCTTTATCTACTGGCTATTAACACGTAAATGAATACTTTTACGTAAAAGCATTCTAAAACCAGTATTCCGTCTTTTCATATTGCAGAGTTATCTGCTCTTGTGAGCAGGTATTGATTGTTACGTCATTAGTTTGTGCGAGAAAATTACGTCGTTTTCTCAAAAATTGGTGACGTTACTCTCACAAACAAATGACGTAACAATCAATACCTGCTCACAAGAGCAGATAACTCAGCAATACGAAAAGACGTGATATTTCACAAAGCAACTTGTAATAAACGAATCACATATTATATTTTGACAACAAACATTTGGCCTCCATTTAATCAGAGGTCAGTAGTTTGTCTATGATAAAAACTGCAGGGGATAGCAATACAAATGATTTAAAGCTGTCAACTAGTGATAATCTGTTCAGCATTGACGAAGTGATATTGTGCACAACTGTGATTGTGTGATATTGGCTATAGTTTTGGTTTAGAAAAGTTGTTTACATGATTATTTAGTAACATTGTTGACATGATTGTTTTAGTAATTTTGTGTACAACTTATATATAGTCATATAATGTGCAAGTTAAATTGTATTAGTAATATTATAAATTGTGTGCTGCTTTGATTGTGTTATAGTGTGGACAGTTATTATTAAAAATATTGTGTATACCTTTGATTTACTAATACGGCGTTTAAATACTAAGCGTTAATTTCCTGAAAAGGTGTTTTGAAAATATACACTGTGACAGATACGTTCAGTCTAATATGCATTGTTATGTCTATTGTGGCCAGCACGCATGTGTGCAATTTACATTTCCAAGATATGTTAGGCATTTTATATAGTGACAGAAAACCAGACGATTTGTAACAATAAATATTTCAAATTATTGCGTTTGTTATATAGAACAATTTAATTCCAAATTGTTTAACTGTAAAAGGAATTTCATTCTTAGGAAGGCAAGAGAATACCTGATCAATAAAAATGGAATCGTAGACAAGACTAGGACGATCGGCAGAGAAGGAACGTTCGAGATCATCCGAAGACAGTAAAATCTTTTACCATCGTTTAGCAATATAAATCAGATAGTATTTATTCTGTAAATGATCAACTTACTTAATTGGGCATTTAAGCAGAAATTATCAAAACAAATATTTATGAGGGTTTCATTAAAATCTTACATTCAATTTGGAATAATCACCAGTTTTGATGATATTAAACTATTTATATATTCTTTTTTCGAGTTTTTCAAGTTTTCGAGGGAAAACACCATGAAAAAAACCTTTAGTTATATAATTCCTTTTACATCAGATTGTTGAAATGGAGGATGGATGAAGATGGGACATTGCCACGGGATCTTGAGATAAGAGGGGTATGATTATATATATATATCATTTCACGTGCTTCAAACACAATATTAATTTAATGTACTTGGGCTATTTACCGAGTATCTAACCTTACCACAAATAGTAAACATTATTTTATTCCTTGATGAATACATTGATGAACCCATTTGTGCACAAGTAACAACATGACAGTAGTCTTTCTTTGAGTTAAAAAGCTGCAAGAAGGTTAGCAAAATCTATGTTTGAACAACAACAAAAACTGCAGTTATCGGTGTTGATTTTTTCTATCATAAATTTCAAAAATATAAAAGCATGCAAAATCACGTTGTAAAGAAAAGCATTGTCTTTAAACATATTATATGTGACAACTAGTTATTAAATATACAGGAAAAATGAGCCTTTGAAGAAATCTGCTTGTGCAAAATCATACAAAAGAATGAAATTGAAGTAAGAATGTTTAAAGTCAAGTCATAGTTTCACTTTTCCCTCTCAACATTCAAGTATCTAATTACTTCCATGAAATGTATTATACCTTATCGTAATCCCTGTAATTTTAATTTAGAAATAGCACATAGTTAAGCAGTAATCTATTCAAGGGGGAATAAATAGAACAAAACACATATAGCTTACAAAATGTATGAAAGTCAAATACTTTATTCGAATAGTTATTTGATTGACGAAATATGTAAACAGTGCGGTCAGTTTCCATGACATAGGCGAAGGTTAAAAACCATGCTAGTTTAAACATCCAATAATTTAAACTTTGCTCATGGTCCGTTAAGTTGGACTAATGCTAAATGATGAGCTAAACGGTTTTATAAAAAAAGATACGTGTACATCGCTTTTCCTTTGATTTGGGTTATGCTGACATGTGCGTGTGTTTTAGGTGGAAGGGGAGGGTACTCTCCCTGGCTACTATTACCGCGATGACGCACTTCTCGTCTATGGCGCTATACAGAAGTATGTCCATACATATATCCACGTTTATTATGATGGTAAGTAAAAAACTTAATTATATAATTTCAAAAACGCTGGACATATCATTCCAGGATTAATGTCAATAACTTATAGTTCAAAATATATGTTTCGAGCTAATGACCTTTTGAGTATGCAATTAAACTATGCGAGTGTTGCTCGTTATTTACGAATTCAAATAATCAAACGATCATCTTTTTACGCATGGAGGTGAAAATGTGTTTTCCTAAAAAAAATATGGATATTTAATGTGTCGATGTCTTCAAAATTGACACCAATTTACTTTGAAACCTTCTTCCTCGGTCCCTAATTATCGCGTGTTTTATAAAATGTTCATAGTCAGGAAATATGTTTTATTGGTATGTCGTGTCTAGTTGTATTATCAAAATATGACATAATTAGGACAGATTAATTTGCTATTTATTTTATGGGTAAATTTTTTCGCGAAATATTCTTAACGCAAAAACCATGAAAATTATATCCACGCGAAAACAATTACAGTGATTAAGCTGCCATCATGTTTTAGGCACTTTAGTCTACAAATAATTATTTGGATTCAGAGTTAACAAGAAGCAAATGCATTTTAACTTTGATGGAGCGATATCAGACAAATGGCTTTTAATTTAACCATAATCTAATAATTTAGAAACACCAGAATCTGAAAATGTTATTTATGCATGTATTGTATGTAAGTTACAAACTTGTCTTCAGTAGACTAGGTATTCAGTTATACAAGATAGTTAACGTTTCGTTATGTGAATCACTTTTGGAAAAAAATGTTTTTTGCATGCCACAGATAAATAATATACGTTTTTGATATAAAAATTCTATCCATTACATGTAGATGCCGGTTATTTTGGCAAACACCATGTAAGGAAGGATGAACAAATACAAGCCTGGGTAGCGGCACTGATTGCCAAAAGAGAACCTGTCGGCGGTGGCTGTGAAATCCAGGTAAGTTTTTCATCATAGTCCGATAAAAGGCATTTGCTTTCTTTGATTCTATGTATTATTTAATTTTTAAAATTATAAATAAAAAACATTTCGAATGACTCATTTGTTTAAGTTAGATATATGTATGAAATATGCATTCTTAAGATTCACTAATAATTTGATTCTTGCAGGGCATTCCATTAGATGAGAATGGTTCGACTATATCTACCTGTGATCAACTGGTAAAAATACTGACCAGCATCATATACATGTGCAGTGTGAGTCACGCCGTCACCAATTTCCCACAGTACGAACAGTACGGCTTCCAGCCAGCCTACCCCGCGGGCATGAGAGGGACACCACCTCAAGTTACGGTACGACTTAATATCCATATAGAGATTCAATTCATCACCTCAAAATTTTCGCCACAAAGACATTTTACCATTTTTCTACCGAAAGAGAATTTAACATAGTAATGGCTGCTGTTCAATCCTATTCGCGTACCCGCCATCTGATCTTCCGCCAGTGTTGAATGCTCCAATGCACATTTATTTAACGGTCATGCATACTATTCTCTATTCAATTTTCTAATAGTATATAGTATTACCAACACAGATACATAAATGTAATCACAGATGCAATAGGAACCGACTTTTGTTTTTAACTTTAACAACAAATCACGATACAATGTATACCAAAGTATTACGTTTATATAGATAAATCTTTGTACTCCTATTGTATCAAATACATGCTTCAGATTGGAATAGAATTCTGAAGCATGTGTTTTGTTTTTTAAACATATTATCTTTATTTTAAACAAAGAACACCGTGGTAACTGAGATAGACATCATCAAAGCGATTCCGCCCAAAATCACTTGCCTGTTGGAAATGGTCGAAATGAAGTTTCTGAGCACACAGAACACCAGCCGCTTGGGATATTTCACCACGAGAGATAGTATACCGCTTAAGGCAGACGACGCGTTGAAGCAGTGAGTATTTGTTTGTATACGCCCACATTTTAGTTTCCGCAAAATAACTTGCTTAAACATAGTTGGTTATTGATGAAACTTGGCATTAATATACATTTTACGAAGAGTGAGGCTAAGTTCGAACTTGATCTAAATTCGCGCATAACGAATTAGCATACTGTGCTTTGATTGGTCATTCTTAAATTAAGAAATATATTGTACATTATACAAAGTCTGGAGCTAAGTTCTGAGTTGAACAGATTACCATACAATAGAAATATCTTTGGTTTTAAGGGTGCAAGATGAATCGATTATTGGCAAAAAGTGACATTTCGTGGTTTGAAATATGTACAAGGGGCAACGCTTTTTTTTAAAATACCATACTATTAAATATAGTATTTATTCAGAGTAAGTTAGTCAAGAACAAAATGTTTTCTCCCCTTTCACCACATTCCAGGAATAGCTCTCAACTTAATGCAGAACAATGTTGTTTCTTCTCCGTTCATTCCCATATTTTAGCATAATGCATCAGATGGATTTTAAGTATGTCAGATTGGTTTGGAACGGGCGAATATTATCCTGCCCTGTGGTTCTCTTGTTAGATGTGTTGACAGTTGATATGTATTCTAGTCAGCATCATATAAAACGTGCAGTATCGACCACGTGATAACGAACTTTCCAGACTAAGACAGCATGCTGAAGCTCGTCTATCCTAACTTCGAAATCCAAGGGCATGTTCTATCCTCCGTCTTCTCAGCTGGAATAAGTCATGCCGAAATCGATTAGTCATTTAATTGGTTCGAGACATGACAAATCGACAGGTTGCTAGACTGACTCCTGTCTGCTGAAGATAACAAAGGAGTTACTCCCTAATCAAAGTTAGTTCATTTACCGTTATGCTGCTAGGCGATTTGTTTTGTCGTGTATCAAATATATCACAGTTAGGCAAGATGTAACAGTTTTCAGACTAGTCAACCCGTGTAATTCGCAAGGGACCACTTACAGAACCTTCAATCGCGACATATTACCGGAATGTAAAGAATAGATGAAGAGAGGGAATCATGGATTTCGAAGATATTATATTTGGTGTTGCATAGGATTACTTGGTATAATGGTATTAGCTTCTGAGTAAAGCTTGGTGGTCAATTTCAACTATCAATCCCATGGTGAACACTCAATCTCAAAAAGCAAAAAGTTCTTAATGTCAAATTTGTAGCAAAAGGTTTCATATCGTAGAACAAAATCCGAGATATAACGTTGTAATGGATGTAGAGTGTGATTAACTTAATTATATTTGGAGAACTATTCGCCGAACGAAATGATATTTTAAACAACATAAGGAAAATAACTGCATTAACTTTCGTTTTTGAACTATCTTAACGTTACTGAAGTGATTTTCGTAAATTACATTTACGATTTGACGATTACCAATATTGATTAAACGGTTCTTCTTTTTCGATAGATAACATCTCCCTGAAAAACACTTTTTTTTAATATGAGAAAATAATTTCAATATTTTTTATTTTAGGTTGAGGAAAGATTTGCGAAAAGCTGCTGAAATAATTATGGAAAGAAATAGCACAAGAACTCACCCTTACCCTTGGGCAAGCCCCGACAACATTCCGAATTCTATCAGCATCTAGCTTAAACATCACCCCAAATTTCCTGGGCACCTACCACGACTACTGAAGACGCTTTGTCGTGACTAAGCAGAAGTTTGTGTTGACAAATATAAAAGATATTAAATATAAATGAACTGTCACGATCTAACATACATTTTGTAATTTTCAGTAATATAACGAGAATAAAGCAGAGAGAATATAGTGAACATCATTGTTTATTATATTATTGTCTCGTCGACACGCTATGTGTTGATTACTCTGTTAATCTTCATGTAAAACGTCCAAGTACTCCTGTCGAGTTGTTCGAGGAAATCACAAACAATTCTATCTCAGACTGTCTTCCTCATAACTTGTTGGTCGGGAAGCTGGAAGCTTATGGCCTGAGCAAAGCCTCACTTAACCTGGTGTCCAGCTACCTGAGCAGCAGGAAGCAGCAGGTAAAAATTGGCTCCAAATGCGGTGACTGGCTGGAAGTGCTGAAGGGGGTACCCCAGGGTTCTATTTTAGGACCCTTGCTTTTTAACGTATTTGTAAATGATATGTTTTTATGTGAATGTAAATTATATAATTATGCAGACGACAACACTGTCAGTGAATCAAATAAAGACCCAGATGCTTTAGAACATAATATTGAAAATGACTGTCGAAATTTAATAGAGTGGTTTAAATTAAACCAGGTGAAAGCAAACCCTGATAAATTCCAGGCCATTTGTATAGGGAAACGTTCGGTAGATGCTATACAGTCTTTTAGTATTGGCGAAAAAGATATTGTTCCTGACAATGTTGTCAAACTTTTAGGTGTGAACTTTTGATTCAATTTGAAACTTTGAAGCTCATATCATTGAAATTTGTAGGGAAGCCTCAAGGCAATTGTCCATTTTAAAGCGAACTGGGAGTTTTTTAACCAAACAAGGTAGACTTGTAATTTATAATTCATTTATCGTTTCAAATTTTAACTACTGTCCTTTAGTCTGGCACTCTTGTTCCATGAAGATTGTCAGAAAGCTAGAAAAGATACAAAAAAGAGCTTTAAGGTTTATACATAATGATCACAACTCATCCTTCAGACACTTACTCAGTATTACCAACAGCGACAGGCTTCATGTAAGGCGTCTGAAGGAAATGGCCTGTTAGGTTTTTAAAATTATAAACAAAATTTCTCCTGAATATATTCATAATCTTGTAAATATTAAGATGTATAATTATGACTTCAGAAAAGAAAATACTGCAGAGGTGCCCAGGGTCAACACTGTGAAGTATGGACATAAATCGTTTGCTTTTGAGGCCGCCCGGGTTTGGAACAGTCTCCCAAATGACTTCAGAAAAGTTGAAAACTTCAAAGAATTCATGAGGCTGGTCCATTCCTGGGATGGCCCCATCTGACTTTGCAATATCTGCAAAGAGTGATACTCCATACTGTGCCCTGGTTACCTCTGTCACCTGACATTTTGGATTGTGTGATACTTTTATTGTCTTATCTCATTTCTTATATGTTTTAATTCTATTCTATAATTTTGCTGCATCTCATTTGTATTTTAATTCCATATATTCTAAAAACATTTTTTACAAAACTTGATTTTGTTAATTGATTTCGGTATCATTTTTAATTCACACTATAATAGTGTATATTCTGAAACATCATAAATCAAGCAACGTTACAAATGTTACGATTGTACATTTAAAACAAACCATTGTTCTGGAGAGCTGTGTAACAGCGAAATGCCCTGAGATTCAGTCTTCTTGTGATCCTTCAATATGTTAATTGCATTTTGGGATATAGGACACAGTACTATACTGATGTGGGTCTTTTTTAATTCTGAATGGAAATATCTCCAATTTCTTTTTTTTTAAATATATGTTTTGATTTGATCATTTTATAACCTCAAGTATTTTAAATCTGTTTATTTTAAAAAGATTAATTAAGTTATAAGCCTCTAGTTATGCGCTTCTGATAATATTATTAGCTTTTGATGATGCGACTTTATTTGATTATGTTGTAAGAGATAATTTGGAGTTGACATTTATTAAACTTGATATCTTCTGTCTTTTTCATATACCATATACGTATGATATTCTTTCGAGAAGTGGCCATGGTGTAATGATGGCTATTTTAAATTATATTTTCTTTCTGCCTCAGCTTCAACATGATCATACACCAGGTTTAATAAAATACATAATGGAAAACAAAAGTCTGTGAAAATAAATCTGTTTTCATTTCATTTAGGAGATATCAGAGATTTACAGGGGTGGTAATATTTGATTACGATTGAAAATATAGTAAACAGGTTTATATATTTGGGTGTAGTTTATCCACCTTTATAAGGCATTGATCAATGAAATGGGTTTTCATATTTGGGTGTAGTTTATCAATTTTTATCAGGCATTAACAAATTTTGTTGGACAATCTACTTATCAAAAATGGGAAATTATAAGTCAAAACTAAATTTGAACTAACCAACAGAATATATTTGCAATCTATTTGATCATTTGCTGTCACCCGAGTTGTGCCATCGAAGCGTACATATTCAAAAGCTTGTGAACAATATAGCTCATGAACCGCCGAACAAAATTTAGTTCATATTCACATCATAGTATGGTAATATCGGATTCTACACTTGTATATATTGTGTTGGGTCATCGGTCAAGGTTAAGCGTCTAGGGTATGGAGCATTCCTACAAATGTGTCCCTTAAGGAAAGAATATTTAAACATCAAAAGAGAGCAGCAGGAGTAATTCTAAATATAAGAGAATTCGTACACCAACATTGAGTTTTATACCTGATAAGATGTTGGTGGTTATCTGTCAAGGTTAAATATCTAAGGTCACGGGCAAAGTGGGATATATATATTTATATATATGCGAGCCTCAGCCAAGTTTACTTCAATTAACACTTTTTGATACGTGAAGCATTCGAAAGAATTGACCAAACAGGCTTACTGAATGTATTTAAAATTAAAGTTAATAACATTTTTTGTTTAATTGCAGAAACAAAACTATGAGATTCTGCACGTACTAAAATCTTGTGAACTAGCTTATACAAGTCAGAATATAAACAATCTCTAAACGTAACACAAATTGAGGTAAGGCGTTTGCAAAATATACAAACCCAAATACATGTGCAGAAGGTTCTTGTGTCACCTTCACTGCAGAACATTTGTAGCTACACAAACGATTATTTTTCTTCGGCTAATGTCATGCAGAATAATTGTAATAACAACAAAAAATATGAATTATTTGATTTCATTTATTTGAATGAAATTTGTGATGCACTCCATCTACACTTGATCACGCCTTACAGACAATATCCACGTATTTCTCTGGCTTTGCATTATGCCATGGCTTTCATACATCACTTCGACCAAATTTCAACCAGAACCTCCATAAATCATCCCTAGATCAAGTTCCCAGTCCCCCTCCTATTTCAACCTGAAGGAGAGTAAAGACTGAAGAAGGATGTATGGGGAACATCAACATTCATACACACTTAGACACACTTAAATAAAACAGGATGCCACAGTAGGCTCTCTCACTTCTTACTGACATCTAATTATCATGGTTGTAACAGAAACAATTTAAAAATTTGAATGAATGGATGATAATAATGAAATTACATGTGAGAAATTGTCCTTTGCTGAATAACAATTTTATCATAAAATGCACATTTAAGTTAATGTAATAGGTGTACTGTCTATTCGGGTGAAGGGGAAAAAAACTTTGACAAAATGTACAAGATTGGGACTTTTTCTCAATCTAATGAATCGCAGACACTAATTAATAAATCATGAATCTGTATTAAATCAATTCCATTAAACAACAAACACAGTCAAAGAGTTGCAAGCCATGCTTGAATGCACTCCATTGAATAACAGTGATCAGGAAAATGTAGTGTTTATGAAACACAATAGTTCAATTCAAAATTGAAATCCCTGAATTATTTTATACGATTCATCAGAGACGGATCATGGACGTAAACCAAAACAGCCACAGCTAAAGAGGACGAGGAGCCAAGCTTTGTAGCTAAAATGTACAATATCAGGGGTAAAACGGTCTGCTGCCAGCAGGTATTTACAACTATACAAAATAAATATCAATTTACATTAGTTACAGGAATAAAATAAGCTACTATTGTTTTGATATAAAAATTCAGAAGAATCCAAATTTAAAACGTTTAAAGATTAAAGATCAAGTATTCTTTAAGAATGTACACACTATAAATAGCATAGACACTGGGCAGAAAGCCACATTTCATAAATAAGTTTGAATATTACATATGTTCTCACTATGTACATCCGATCAACCGTACAAACATTTATAGTAACATACTGTACACAAAGCGAACTTGTTACATTGACTCATAAAAAAATCATTTCTTGGAATTTTTCTCCAGAATCTACATCAATGCTGCAAAGTTTTTAAGAAAAAACAGCAGTAGAAATGTCTATTTTTTAAGTTATAAGTTTCAGTTAAAATTATGCATAGCCCACCAATTATTTCGACTATTACTTGAAAAACAGCAAATTTTCTGTCACACAAACATTAGTCATTATACAGTACATCATTACAACATAACCATAAAATACCAAACAAACCTTAAGTTGGAAAGGACAACATTGATTATGCTTTTTTAACACTAATTTTGATACTTATATGTTGCTATGGTTGATAATAGCTCAACAATGACTCCGAACAAGTCCTAGAAAAGGTGTAGAGAATTGTTCTTTTCATTAACTTTAGCACTATCACTCACACTGTATTTATCAAACTTTTAAACTCTGATCAAATGTGAACTCTTTATCCATCTGTTTCTTAATTCATAACTGGATTAGTTGTACTTGGTATATTTCTTTATTGGTCACAATTTACTAATTGTTTGACCAGTTACAATGATATAGATCAATCGAGTGCGCCATTTAAATGTATGCTACTGCATACCAGGAATATTTTGCCTAGTGAAACTTTTGCCCTTTTCCCATCAATTTAATTTCTCCCAACGTAAATTTCGTCATTCACATTAAATTACTATGTATATTTAGGGGATAACCTACTGCATTTTGAAATTTGCAGCAGTATAACGTGATTATAGTATATAATGTCGCAAATTGAGTTTTACTGGTGACGCAGAGCAGAGCATGGTCATAATGTTGCAAATTATTTGGATTGACCAATCAAATCTCATGTTATATCTCAGATGAATTAGAATATGTTGTCTTTCTATATTCATTGTAATAATGAATTTTCCCTAGTTACAGAGGGCGGAAAAGGAGAAAATTGATCTGCAGCGAAATGTTCCTGGTATACAGTTTATTCAATGAAACCGTCACTGTGTATTTTACCGTTTTGTGGTTGCAGTGGAACTACAATTATTAGCAGTGATTACATGAACCCTTTAACTGACTTAAGTTAAAATATACCAACAGACTGCTAAATTTTTCTATTGTCAAAAAAGCTTTTCAACTTAAAACCTTAAAGTACCAATGCGGTTTCGTTCCATACATGACTTAAATAGAACAAGAAAAGAAAGCTGGTCTTCCCAACTGTTCTCCAGACAATTGCTAAATTGATATTTTCAGCGCACTGACAATCATTATGTTTGAGACCTATGTTCAGGATGGTCCTTGTTACACACCTGAAAGATTAATTTTGCAGATGTCACAAAATCCACTACTGCAGCTTTTTTGCCCAAACATGTTCTTGTTTAAGATTTTTTATAAAATATGTCAAGGATATAGGTTTCAATCAGACCGTACAGGTACCCGTCACAGAAATGGTATCATAGCGAGCATCCAACTAGTGTATCGACTGTTGTAATATTAAAATAGTTTTTGTCTTACAGAAAGTCAATTCTTACATTATATATGTAATAGTGTAGACTCCTTATTCAAAATTTTGGCAAAATTAGCTTCTCACTGCAGTTAATGCTACTGATGATTCAACTCACATCACCTGCATTTTATAATTACAATCAACTTAACAAATAAAATACTGTATAATGGGAAACTCAGCCATTGAATGAAATGTTTGGCCTTCACCGGTTAAAACATATCTACACAGTGATCATTTTGACCGTCACATTTGAGACATTGTGTTTTGTTAGCGGTACACCAACATCTGCCATCACAATAAAATTGCCCTCACTACAGAAATTATGGGTAAAAATTGGACTGTGGCGTAACATTTCCCTCTAAATACAATGCAAGAACAAAAGTTACCCTGTGAACAGATAGAGTAAAAGAAATTTCTTCTGGCATTTCTATGACAGGTCTGCTTTCTAATGAAATAATACATCAAATTTAGGAAATCATTTTAAACTTAAGAATTTCACTTTGCCTTCTCCAAATTAGCTGATAACACAGCAGTAAGAGAATTCTTAGTCTTTGTGGAGAAATATGGATTGCTTTGTACTGAAAGTTTACATGGAATATTTCTCAACTAAATGCTTGAATGATTTTGGTCAAATGAATGAATGGATGATAATGAATGAAGAGTGAATATTTTTGTTTAACAGAGATTCTGACATTTATTTTGTATAATTGTCACCATTATGCACATGTGAAACCGGACCTATTACCAGTAGATGCTTATTTCTATTCATTCTGAAGAAAAAATATGTTAGATGCTTTAACAAAAGTTTGGTGTTGAAGAACTTGTATATTCACAGCTCGCAGCACTTTCTTTAGTGGAAATAAAATTACTTTGAAACCCAAACATATATGAACACAAATAAAAAAATTAAGTGATGTCAAATGACTTTATACAGATATTTTTTGAAGAATTAGGACAAATTAATACACAAAAACAAACTCTTTCTAAGTAATAAATATTAAACCTATAGTTGAACTGTGTCCACTTTGAAAAATTCATTAAAAGTATAATTTACTGTCTAAGTCTATCACCCACAATCTCTTGATATTTGATTTCATTTACAGCAAAAATGTTATGGGAAAATTTAAACACTGTATCCCTTAATTTCACCCAGACAACCTGCAGTAGCATGCATAATAAGACTGAGGCTGTGAAACAAGTACGGGAATGGGAATGACTAAGCATTGTTTAGTGGTATAAAGTAACCATCTGTCATCTACAGGATTTGGTCTGGCCACAGACATTGTGTATAACATGTTATGGCCACCTGAGATATGTCTGGTAAGGAATTCAATACCAACACTTAACACATGAAAGAGTGATGTATGTCTTACTGCTCTGCTGCAAAATGTTTAAGGCTAACACTATTCTCCCTTGATCACTTCCTGCTACAAGTACTTCTGTAGAATGGTTACTTGGCACAGCCGTTTCATTTTACAAGCAGAATACAACTTTCTCTTGCCAATGCCACTGAGCTGTTTATCTTGTAGCTATTTCGCTGACTTGGACCATGTGTCTTGGATTCTCCATCAGTCACAGAAACCTCCTAGATTGGACCTCATCAATTCCCAGCTTTACCCTGCAGCACTCATCATGTAAATAAAGAAGAGTCTGCACTCTGTGAAGGTCTATAGCTTAGAGCCCACTTGACTCGTGATATTTAGTCCCTGTTGAAATCACAAGGTCATCAGGTTACACCTATGCAGCCATTATCTGTCAAGAAGCTCATGATCTTGCGTCGATGGGTTTTGTCAAGCCCACTTGTCGTAGCCAGGGAAGGCTGCCATTTCCTTGCTATCGTTCTCCTCATCTTCATCTTTTGATTCCGAAACAACGAAAGTATTGAAAACATAATACAAAATGTAAGAAGGATTGCATGATAAAACCTAATTTTGTTGTTGATAACACCTGTGTAATGCTAATTGACAGATCACTGATTTTTAACCCACCTAATCAGACAAGTGTAAACTAAAATATTTATAGCTTGCAAGCCATTTCAGGTAATCAGGACATCAAAATTGTTCTCAGTAATGTTGCAAAACAGTATCAAAATAACTCCGGTCAAAACCAGTGGCAGAGTGGATAAGCTGCCAGTCTGGTTATCAAGGATTCCGGAGAATGAATCCCAAATTCTAGATGATTCGGTATGCTATGGTTTCGGTACTAAGAATGAAATGTGTTGGTACTTTTTGGTAAAGAAAAAACAAAGCTTGAGAATCCTAGAATATGAAATCAGCAACACGCATGACACAAAATGCAAACAAATACAATGTTTAAACGTTGTTCATAAAGCTGAAAATCTTATAAAATAAGATATTAGAACAATTTTTGGAGAGGTCCAAATGTTTTAAACCAGAACTGAAACATCTCATTACCACAATGACAGTGTATTGAAACATCTGTAATCTTTAATCCCTGTAGCAGAGTCAATATATTTCTTGTAGAAGAGAAAAATGTTAATTTTCACCGAGAATACTGATCATGCCATGGAAGTTTTGATTCAAAGCTTATCAACACCATTAAACTTACCTTCGTCGTCTATAAGTATATCTAATTTTTCTCTGAAAAGAAAAACAACAATGTATTAGCTATGTGTTCCTCCAGATGATAACAAGAGCTTCAACTTTAAAACCTATCTGAAATAGCTCTAACATTTCACACAAAAATATATACTGCATACCTATATACAATGTTGTTAAAAACTGACCAACAGATCTGGGATTGGTACTTTTTGTGGTATCAAAATCTTCAACGTGAATGAATTTGAAAGAAGTCTGAACATGCACATGATTCTAATCTGAACTTTATGCTTATTAATTCAGTTTAACAAGAAATATGTAACACTTTGTGTTCAACTGCTCCAAACTTTCCCTATTAACTCATTCACCCATGAAGACACATTTGAACCCTTCCAATTCAAAGGTTAGAATGGTTCATTATGAAATTTCAGGGGTGAATGAGTTATGAGTTTGTAGAAAGCAAGAGTGAAGGGCAGTAGGTGACCTATTAACAGTTAACAGACAGCACTATACAGGAGATGGAATGTAATGGCTGGTAAGGGACTAGACTTACTCTATATAGAGTTTACAGAAAGCACTGTACAAGACTTAATCTATGACAGCCGTAAAGGCACTAGACTTTCTCTGACGATGGCTGTAAAGTTACTAGACTTGCTCTATGACGGCTGTAAAGGGACTATACTTANCATACAGAGTATATACACAACTGCAACAATGAAGTCTCAAGTCCAACATTTGTAGTTTCAAGAACTATTTGACAAGCTCTAATTGAAAATGAAATGATTCATCATTTCTTGTATTTTTTACCATTAAATTTACTTTAATTACCTTTTGAAAAAATCTTTCTTGGTTTTCAAAGTTCATTTTTCCCATAAAAGTAGAGTTAAAATGTCCTGAGATGTTGGTATCCAAACAAAAACATACACATAAAAGTCACAGTAACTTGTTGTTATTACAGTAGAAGTTTATAGTCCATGCAATAAATCAGGGGAGGTAATCTGACAGCTCATCTGTCCTGTATCTGCAGTATTAGCCTGTCACATGTCTATTTCGCCTGTATGAATATCCTGTTACCTACCTTCCTTTCTCGCTCAGATAACATGTCGTAGCCAGGGAAGGCTGCCATTTCCTTGCTATCGTTCTCCTCATCTTCATCTTTTGATTCTGAAACAAGGAAAGTATTGAAAACATAATACAAACTGTAAGAAGGATTGCATGATAAAACCTAATTTTGTTGTTGATAGCACCTGTGTAATGCTAATTGACAGATCACTGATTTTTAACCCATCTAATCAGACAAGTGTAATCTAAAATATTGATAGGTTGCAAGCCATTTCAGGTAATCAGGACATCAAAATTGTTCTCAGTAATGTTGCAAAACACTATCAAAATAACTCTGGTCAAAACCAGTGTGGATAAGCTGCCAGTCTGGTTATCAAGAATTCCGGAGAATGAATCCCAAATTCTAGATGATTCGGTATGCTATGGTTTCGGTACTAAGAATAAAATGTTTTGGTACTTTTTGGTAAAGAAAATACAAAGCTTGAGAATCCTAGAATATGAAATCAGCAACAAGCATGACACAAAAAGCAAACAAATACAATGTTTAAACGTTGTTCATAAAGCCAAAAATCTTATAAAATAAAATATTAGAACAATTTTTGGAGAGTACCAAATGTTTAAAACCAGAACTGAAACATCTCATTACCACAGTGACAGTGTATTGAAACATCTGTAATCGTTAATCCCTGTAGCAGAGTCAATATATTTCTTGTAGAAGAGAAAAATGTTACTTTTCACCGAGAATACTGATCATGCCATGGAAGTTTTGATTCAAAGCTTATCAACACCATTAAACTTACCTTCGTCGTCTATAAGTATATCTAATTTTTCTCTGAAAAGAAAAACAACAATGTATTAGTTATGTGTTCCTCCAGATGATAACAAGAGCTTCAACTTTAAAACCTGTCTGAAATAGCTCTAACATTTCACACAAAAATATATACTGCATACCTATATACAATGTTGTTAAAAACTGACCAACAGATCTGGGATTGGTACTTTTTGTGGTATCAAAATCTTCAACTTGAATGAATTTGAAAGAAGTCGGAACATGCACATGATTCTAATTTGAACTTTATGCTTATTAATTCAGTTTAACAAGAAATATGTAACACTTTGTGTTCAGCTGCTCCAAACTTTCCCTATTAACTCGTTCACCCATGAAGACACATTTGAACCCTTCCAATTCAAAGGTTGGAATAGTTCATTATGAAATTTCAGGGGTGAATGAGTTAAGAGTTTGTAGAAAGCAAGAGTGAAGGGCAGTAGGTGACCTTTTAACAGTTAACAGACAGCACTATACAGGAGATGGAATGTAATGGCTGGGAAGGGACTAGACTTTCTCTATGACAGCTGTTAAGGGGCTAGACTTACTCTATGACGGCTGTTAAGGGACTAGACTTACTCTATGACGGCTGTTAAGGGACTAGACTTACTCAATGACGGCTGTTAAGGGACTAGACTTACTCTATGACAGCTGTTAAGGGACTAGACTTACTCTATGACGGCTGTTAAGGGACTAGACTTACTATATGATGGCTGTAAAGTTACTAGACTTGCTCTATGACGGCTGGAAAGGGACTTTACTTACTCTATTACGGCTGTAAAGGGACTTTCATTCTCTATGACAGCTGTAAAGGCACTAGACTTGCTCTATGACAGCTGTAAATGGACTAGACTTGCTCTATGACGGCTTTAAAGGGACTAGACTTACTCTATGACGGCGGCAGCTTTTTTTGAGACCATTGATCCTCTCTTGATTAGCGGCGAGCAGTTGCCCTGCAAAACACATAACCCAGCACAACTTCTGTTAACATGGAATATCTAAAGTCAACCACTACCAGTCATGATTCTGTGACTCTGATGACAGACACTGGTGGCTCATACAATTTTTCAGCCATCAGAAACACATTCAAGCTTTCACTTTGTAGCATCCAAATAAGCAAGTCTAATGTTGTGTTCTTTAATGAAACTACCCTGTGATAAAAATGGTAGTGATGATTTCTGTGTACTTGCTCTGATTTGGCCTTATACAGTGAAGGTCCATCATGATTACATACTGCCGGCAGTACTAAGACGATCCCTTGTTTAAATATAATCACTGTATCAATGAATCAAGTCTACCTTTTGAAGTCAAATTAAAAAAATATTGCCAATCACTTTTTTTTTTAAACATTCAGCATTGAGGAGGAAAGCTAAATGTACACAAACACGTAGAGTTTGGAAATTGGTGAACTGAGATATCCACAATACATACATCAGAGAAACCATATACATATTGGTGAACTGAGATATCCACAATACATACATCAGAGAAACCATATACATATTGGTGAACTGAGATATCCACAATACATTCATCAGAGAAACCATATACATAAACTTCAGTAAGCACAATAATCATTTAGAGCACTATTTAAAGTACAAAAGAGCTTAAATTAAGGTAACCACTAAAACATGTATACTTACAGTAATTGACTACTAGTTGATATATATACACTGTGCATTATAAAGGTGTAATGAAGAGTTCTAATTAATGAATTCAAAAAGTTGAAAAGGTTTGTGAACCAAAAGTTTAAACTTGTTTACAGAATTACACATTACAAACAGTCTAGTCGTGTAAATGTATGTGATGCAACAGATGGTAAGGAGCACTGTTCTAACCTTTGATTTAAACAGAAGAATTCTTCCAAACAAATGATTTTAGTGCTCAGTGAAGAAAAGTGGAAATTATGCACTAGTCTGTGAAAGCCTTTCTACATGGAGAAGTTTTAATAAGTCTGACAGACTATATACATGTACATATATTACAAAGTCTAATAATATGAATGTGTCTGAAACAAAAAAACTTTCCCATTCAATCTATAACAAGCTAGTATAACAAGGTTATAAACGTATCTACATTCTATTCTCTAACAAAACATGATTAGCAACCAATTTCTACATCATAAGAAACCATCACACGTGTCCATTAGATAGAAATGGGAATAGGATTTTATATTACTGGGGCTCATCATGTTATATGGCAGGTTCTTTAAAATATTAGACTTACATAAGGAAAATTAGGATAAACACTTATAAAATATACTACTAATCAAATATATACCCAAAGTTGTTGAAAAGAGTGCAATTTGGCAAATGGAAAAAAAATATACTGCCATGAAACATCAACTTACTAGATTCACTTCTTAGCAACTTGGGAGTGAACGCGACACTCACCAGCTTTTTCTTATTGTCTCTCTTCTTATCTCGTTTGAATTTTTCCTCTTCAAAGTGCTCTATATCTGTGAAAAAGAAAAAGGTAACAATGTTGGCAGTTTTGCTTTCAATTCGATCAGCTTTCATAGTGAAAAGTCTATAAAATGACCATCAACTCTGCGTGCTGTAAATTTTGCTCAGTTCTTAATGTATTTCTTATGGCTTTATTGTCTTCTTTAATGGCAATTTCCTTTGACATAGTCTACAAACAAAGCTTGTTTCCATATAATGAAAGGGTGCAAGTATGGTTATTTTGGGAGTGTAGTTTCTGGCTTTTCTTTATGAAATGCATATTCCCTGCCTCTGCCTCAAGAAAAATAAAATAAAAAAATGTTGGTATATTTTGTGTAGGCCTAAGCATATTTAAACTATATAATCTCTTGAGCATGAATATTACAATTAATGAATAATTTCTCACCATCAAGTTTTGTGATTCCATTTTTCCTGTATCGCATGACAGACTTTATTCTGGATTTAAGTTCTTTTTCTTCTGCAAAAAATAAATAATTAAAAAAAATGTTTTTAAACAAATTACTTCTGTGATTACCTTTTACATTATACAATTGTTAATGCTCAATCATTGAAGTACAGTCTAAATACAACCACATAATAAGTAAAAATTTTGGATATATGCAAAGTGCACACAATTTTTCTCAGTATATAGTGTATAACCCCAAAAATAATCCTTCTTATTCCTCAAATACTTACTCTGAATATTTTCGAGAAAAGCCTCATGTTCTGCTAAAGAATGAAATTGTGAAAACACTTTTATTTTTTCCTGCAGATCTCTGAAAAAAAATCAATAAAAAATGTGTCATATCTTATACATTGCAAGGTGCAAAAGCTACAGACTTAAAAATACTTGCATTGTCTTCCTCACATTTTGAGAGCATTATTCTCTAGTTATGGTTGCTGCTTGAATATTTTTACTGATCAAATTTTCATTTATCAAAATATGACAGAAGAGGAAATAATCAAATCATTTATCAAAAGGAGCACTAGAAAATATCCAGTGACGGAAGCAAATAAAATGTAGAAATTCAAACAGCGTTGTGACATCAGTGCTTACTTATCCTCCTTTGACACTTTCTTCTTTGGCGTTTGACATTTTTGTTTGCCCAGCGTTGTTGCTGCTTGTATTAAGTTGAACTCTCGTGCTACACATTTCCGTCTTTCCCGCTCTTTTAACCTTGTCCTATATCTGTCGACTTGTGCTAATTTAACAGCTGTTCAAAATCAAGAACATGTTTATAGTAAACTTACAACTCAAATTATACAAACTCTTATAAGAAAATAATTAACATCTGTTTAAGTATGTATGGCAATTGAAGGTTTTCTAACATGCAATGATACAGTGTGAAGAATCTTTCAATAAATAATAAACAATCAATGATCAATTGATAGCTGGGCAGGGATCACTCTGGCTCTGAATTGGGAAATTAATTTACTAATTGACATTACAGAGAGCAGTAGTGTGTTTCAGCATCATTGGCTGTGATTCCACTTGGTTTTAGTAAATTTGAAGGGCATTCTCACATCTTTTTATCACTTTAAGTACACTAGTTGTACACCAACAAGCAATGACAGGGAAAAGGTATGATATGGCTTTCAGTGTTATTCTATAATCAAATAGATATGATTTTAGACAAATTCCTCCAAATATGGACCCTACATATAATCACCAATATGTTTAAGACTGCATTAGTTTATCGCGATCTAACCCAAGTTGTTGTTTATGAAATTAGGTTGGAACTAGTAATCTATTGCTGCTTTCGAGCGAGCCTCGTCAAAGCCTTGCAAGGCCTGCATAAACATTTGCAGGTCCACCAGGATTTATACCCAAAAATGTTACATTTAAAAACAGACGAACTAGTTGAACTGGATACGCGAAAGGTGCACCAAGTCTTTTATAAATAACTTCAGAGCCAAAAGTTACTCACCAACATCTATATCCTCATCATCATAATTATTTGCTAGACTACTGACTAGAGTTTCTGCCTCATTATCGTGTTCCTAGAAAAACAAATGATGTAATAATATATTTTAAGTGATTTTGTTGAAATCATGATGTAGCAATGAATGATGCTTATAGGAAGTATTGGTAATCCAGGCCGAGACTATTTTTTCAATATATGTTCATGTTTCTATAATTTCAAAGTAACAGATTTTTATTTACTTTTCTTTTTTAATTTACAACATGAAACAGTAAGACTGATAAGAACTATGTCATTCCTAAATAATCCTGATGATTATGCAAGGAGCACATCTTTACCTATATCTATAACCAATCTGAACTTGATTAGGATGAGAGTAAACTTTGAAATACTCTTCTTTCTAAATATGAAGCAAGAATACAGAGATAGCATAACAGTTCTGTATTTAATATAAAGTTTGTCTTTTTATATTGCACTTAGCTATGACATCCTACCCGTTCAAAGTCATCTCTATAGGGCATATATCCTAGTTCATGCTGCTCCTGTATATTCAGATCCAAAGGACTGATGGGCACTGTAATACTCGGTGACAAAGGACCTGTAAAATGTAAAACATATGACATTCAAAGATATTGCTGTTATCTTACATAGTAAAAGATATTTCTTCATTAGATTGAAATATATCATTCTAGATGGGCTTTCTTTTGCATTATCTAAGAAGACATTTAGAGCATTTTTAAAATATTTCTTTGTCACTGATTTTTCCCCCCCATCAACTCAATCACATCAGGGAAGTTGAGCTTAAAAGTGTAAGTGGTATTTAAAAAGCAACATCTCTTTCAGTAGTATCCCTTTTTAAGTTATTATTTGTATGCCAGTAGGAGGTAATTTTTTTCAATATATAAAGTTTGTATAAGATAGGAATGATGACAGCAAATTTAGAACATTTTTGTTAATCTGGTGAAAAGTCATGTGACTTATATAACACATTGGTTCTTACCGCCATCTGGACAGGAATGATCGGTCACATTGCTGCCAATGGTATCAACACACAAGATCTCTGTAAAATAACAAATAATAAATAGAAAGGTCAACATTTTTACTTCTTTCAAGTATATATGGAACAAAAACATAAAACGCAAAGAGATGCTGTTTCAGTTTGAGTGTGTTCTGTGACATGTTATTCCACCAAATGTTCCAAACAATTTTACATAAATTGGTTGTCTGAAGTTGTTCTGATATTTGTGAAATTCCATAGTAAATAAAGTAAATGATGACAACATTATCATGTGACAATTTTGAAACTGAGGCATCACGTGGGTGGTCGTGTGGCTCATTGGATTGCAGCTTTCAAAAAGTATTATTTACCTCTACCAATCGTTCCTTGTATAAAGAACTTGACATAATGTTCCTCACATTCTGTAAAAGAAGGAAAACATTTCATTCAGAAAAACATTTCATTTTAGTAGAGTAAAATAATTTGTAAATATACCATTTGTGGGTCTCGTATCTAAGCTAGTACTGTCTCAACTTTAACAAAGGACTTCCATATCAAAACTGTGATAATACTGTCCATGTAGAATCAAACAGTGTGACGGAAACTGTGTATTGTAGTTGGGTTGGAACACTACAGTAAGTAGGTCAGAGGAAACCATCCGCTTCGGGGAAGCACAATTTCAGCAAGCAGAGCATCGTCAGAAAATTCATAAGAATATTTTTTATTAATTGTATACTCACAAAATACATACATTGTTGTAGTTTTCACATACATATGGCTAGTTAAGAAAGTATCGAAGTGAATGCTTTCTCTGCCTATTAGTTGGCGAACCAAAAAATGGCGTCACTACGGTATGAATGAAAATGCTAGGGGTCGCTGCCAAAAACATTTGCACTGCTGTGTATACAATTTGTGGAATACCTCCCCACTGCCAAATAAACAACAGCTAAATAAATCAAAATTAATTAGCTGATTAAACCGACAATAACTTTTTATCTTTTGAGAATCCAAGAAAAAATTTAGAAAGTGTTTTGTTCAGGAAGACTTCTTCTTTTCATATCAAAAGAAATTTTTGATATATCGCTTACCTTTCCAGAACTACAGGTGAGAAAAGGTGAGTTTTGTGTGTATTTTGTATGTAATAAAGATAATTTACATCTAATAAACAGTTTGTTATTTATTATTATCACCTGGAAAACAATTCTAAGTTTCATAATCGAAAGTACTGAGTATTCTGTCGTAACAGTCGTCCACATATCGTCGTCAAAAAGAAGAGAAAAACAATTAATAGGGTCGCCGTCACCTGGAATGTATCTTTGTTCAAACCGGGCCGTCCCGTGAATGGGGCATTTATGGAGGTACGCTGTGTTGTCTTAGTCTTCAGGAATGTCTACGTCTTTATCCGATTGATCAAAGTCAATTTCTGCGTCACGTAGTAAATCTTATGGTCCGAATCCCTCAAAGTCATTGTCGCTGTTGTTCCTGTCAAATATATCGCCGATAATCTGCAGTCGTTCGTCTTCTGTATAGTCAGTTCGTCGTCCGCCATTTTGTCGCGCTGTCAACAAATTCTTGATTTTCTCACCACAGTTCCGTACATAAAACGGCATGTTTTGCGGAACGACATATGCCGCGCTTGGCAGTGCATGTTTATAAAAACGACATATGCTGCACTTGGCGGGATAAGGGTTAAAACTTTGATTGTACTTTGGAAAACCTGTGCATTACTGATTAGCATAAACCTTCGATTTGAACAACGATTATAGGTGTTTTCATGTTTTGTTTCTTAAACATAAAGGACTCATTCAGAAAAACATAATTATATTACACTTTATTGAAAATACAACAAATGCCATATTGACCCGATTTTACAGGATTTAGTGACATCATTGTTAAATCACAACATTCTGTATTGCAGTATGGTATATTTCACACTGACACTATCTTTTAATTGTTGTCTTATTCACTTAAAGAAATCCTATGCGAGGCTAAATTATACTTTCTATATGCTGAAGACATACCTGGTCCTTTTCTGGATTCAACATGGTTAGCTACATCCTCCCTGTAAAAAGCCAAGAACATGTTTGTATTGTTCGAAGAACAAAAGCTGTTGAATTTGAAAATGAAAGTGGCAACAGCATAGAAATCAATATTAAAATAATTATAAATGGGTAATTTACAACAATGATTATTTTCCTGTGTATCAATCCACTTTTTCATAGTGAAGCATAAGCTTCTATTAGTATGATTTTATTATTATTTTGTAAGTTTAATTTGACAGACAGCATTTTTGTAAACCCCTGGTCAAAAAAACTTACACAATTTTGTGTTATATCTACTCTCTACACTACATAAAATATGCAGTAATACTATGGAACTACTATTTTGCTATAATAAAGATCATAGAACTGAAAAGCTTTCCCCTTACCAGTTGCCGAAACCATACTGTTCCACAGCATCCAGAAGCATCATCTCTTCAACCAATGACCATGGGTTTGGAATGTCAAATGCACCAACAGATGTGTCATCATCTCCCTGCAATAACCATACCAACAAGAGTTGAAACCACCTCTCTTAAAATAACACACATCCCTGTACATGTATTATCTACATCAACCATGGAATACATTTTTGGTTCTATCAAAATTGTAACAAAAACAAATGAGATAATATGTTATATCGCAGCAACATGTTTTAAGTCTGGTGAACTATTTGTGTGGAGACATCAATCTTGACTATGTTAAGTTGTTAACCTATTTATTTACAATTTAAATAACTAATGTACAAGTTTATTTTATTCAAATTACATATATATAAATTCAATTACCCTAATTTAAAACAGGAACTTGTATATGTCTTATCTGAGGGTTGAAATTTAGGGTGGATATAACACGTTGAGGGTGCTTGTTTAACTTGTTAGGCACAATATATGAGGTGCATATATACAGACATATACTGAAAATTCTACAATTACAGCTAACAAACAGATCATGTTCTAATAAGACTGGGCGACATCTGCCAGAAATTATTTCATGACGGATCAGACGAAAATCGGTCATGTTGTTGTGACCTATTTAAGTATTTTAAGTTGGTGCGACAACATCAAGGATTGCTTTTTATTGTATCATGACACCCACTTCGTATTTAGAGACAGCTTTATAATTTCTTTTGTATGGTTAATCAATTTATTCTAAAACAAAATATTTAGGTAAAGGAGATTCCTTAGCACTCGAGTGCGGGAATTCCCAATGCTTCCGGCTTTGGGGCACCGGTGGGGAAATCCCACTTACCGCAATGTGATAATCATGGTCACGTTTGTGAGTTCCACTCTCTGCTCCACACGAAAAGCACTGAAAATAAATGCAAATTAAATGAAAAATATGTATGCAATAAAAGGGAAACATTATATATTATAATATTCAAAGATTCGACTGGTTATAATGCTGACCGACTCTGAACAAAATGCACGCTACTACGTCATATCTACCTGTAAACAAAGGTCAAAGTCTGGGCATTCAGAGCACTTGATTCTAAACCCCGAAATATCCCCCTCGCAGTAATTGCAATGGTACTTTGCCATTCCTTTGCAACCTCCCGATCTCTTCACCCATTCAGCTGTCAATAAAATTTCATTTTGGGATCCGAATCTTCAGGAAAACGCAAATATTTGGCCCTAGACCACATCTTTTGTCTTTTCAAGCATTCGTGACGTCAGAGCCATCCCATCATTCCACATTTAGGTTACTTCCGGCATGTAGCTAGTCGCGATCTGTCGAGAAGGGCACGAGTTTCAGAAACAACAGTATCTCTAAAACGTGCCTCCATTGCGCTGCTTATTCGTGTATATATTTTTAACGAAAATCTCAATCGTCAGTTGCTGTTATAAATCTGCAGGACGGCCTGAAGTAATAATGTTGGTCGCCGAAACGGGGCTTTTCTACATGGATATTGATAGGTTATTTTTCCAACCAAAGACATATTTTTGTGTGAAAAATATCTTAATATATGCTAGTTGACCAAAACGATTCAATCGTTTATTTTACTAAAATGAGGTTATGAAAGACTACTTATAATTTAACTGGTTTTTCCTACACGTCATTGAATTCAGGATAGGTCCAAACATGAAACTAAACTCGTCCAAGGACATGTAGATCTCTAGATCTATTTATAGATAGGATGTATCTGCTGTAAACCCATTTTTGACGTAAAAAAATAAATAGTAAGCCCGTTAAACGTCTGTACCCGGAAAGGAAAATTGCAACGTCAAGACTGGGTTTCTAAAGGAGATCTCTAAAGTTCTGACAATCTTTTTGAGCACGGTTAACATAGAATAGATCCCTCAGAGTACCCCTCTATAGTATACAAATATATAGTATAGACCAATTGAAGCAACTAACAATCGCGATATAATTCAATTCAATGATTTATATTGTTCCATATTCCGACAGTTCATGAACATCGTTTTGGATATTTTGTTCGTTACTTGTTTTCATAGACAAAAACACACATACATATTAATACATACATACATAGAGAAGAATAAATATATATATCCTTACTTTGTAAATATATATATATACTTAATTGTTGCTATATACATTGTATAGGATTTTTAAAAAATTGGTCTGGAGTACGTATTCTCGAGTGTCAGCTAGGATTTTTTCAAATCTTTACCCATAGAGGATTTGAATTATAAAAATATTTTACCATAATTCCCATGTTTTTTTTTCCAAACTTTTAAATTTTACCCCTATACGTTGGGCTATTATACTTTGTCAATCTCATGTTTATTAAATGCATATTTCAAGTTCAGTCATACTAGGATTTCTGTTTCTTTCTGGAGCTAAAGTAGATGAGGAATTTAGCATGAGTCATGATGTTATTAGTCGGAATAGATTTTTGAAATTCAAAAGTTTTGCCAAAAAGTATAATATTTTCCTTTATTTCAAATGTACACACACAGGTTAGAATTGATCTCTCATACCCCTCTATTATACACACGCAAAGTCACCTACATAAATATGAACAATTTAAGCATAGTATAGAAAATCAATTTTGATATATTACCCACCGCAAACGAATTTCGGGAAAGATTATAGTGAGAATCACCATGTCCGTCTGTTGTTCATGAACATCTTATTGAACTTGTTCGTGACTTGCTGTAATTGGCACAGTGAAAGTGATTCATATCAGATGTACATGATGGAAGGAGTTTGCATTTTAGCTATATTTCAGGGAGTTATGGCCATTGAAACTTTCCGTTTTGCTCCGGAAACCTTGTATGTAACTTGGCACAGGGTTAGAACATAACATCAAGGGATTTGTGATTTGAGTAGTATACCCCTGTAAACAAAGTTTGAATACGTGGATAATATGAAGCGGGGTACATATCTTATGATGTGCGAGCTCGGTCAAAATTAATTGCAGCACACCGGCCGAGATGCTACAGATTGTGAAATTGTTACTTCAGGTTATGGATATGTTTCAGTAAACTAGATGTATACATTGGAGAAAATGACGTTGGTAATGCTTACCTGTTGACACTAGCTACGAAGTTTAAAAGGGATTTTTTTCTTAGTCTGAAAATGTCATTACATGTAATGATGCGTTTATGTCTCTGGTGAACGGAAGCTGTAAGGGGACAAAATATCGACCAAAGACAAGACCATGTTTCAACACACAGGAAACTACCCATACCTACTTAAATTAACAACTTATTTGTATCATGTACGTGAGGACATTTCTTGGTATTCTGGTTATCGCACGCATGCATCGTAAACTACATGTTGTCGTTCTGCAGTATACCGTACATTCATTGATGTCAGAGAAAAATGACCCTGCTCATCAAGTATATGGCATGCCGTATGGAAAATAAATAAAGACATGCACTGAACAAGGATAGCGCCTTGCGGTTCAAATCCTTCGCTGACATTATGCAGAAGTATGAACCCTACATTTTACTTCGATTTTTCTTCTTGCAGGAATTGGGGGGTCATTTAGCTTTTGTTCGCTCTCGATAAGCTTTTTGTTTTTCCGCTTTACTTTTTGTCATACCTGGATATGATGAGAAAAAAATAAAACCAAAACGAAATGTAAAGAAAGGCATTCGGGTTTTTTCAATAGTTAATATGTGCTCACATCTCACTTTTGCCATGTCCGTAGGTATTAAAATGTTTTCAGCGTCTTAGGTTACTCATTTAAGTCCTTAAACTGATACGTCACAGACAGGTTACACAAAATATTGGTGTTACGTATCACTTTTCATCGAATATATTCAATTCAAATCAATTCAACATGTTATTGCTCATTTTTAGTTACATAGTAACGTGAAGGCAAATAACAAAACAACAAACAGAGAAAGAAACTTTTTGAACAACATATAACCTACACAAACGCCAGTATATATATAAATTCAAATAACCAAGTCAATTTTGTCTGCGAAACTAATGCACCCATATACATTACATGTTTTCCAAGTGATATGTGATCCTTTATTTTACATATCGCACCCCTTTCTTTAACAAACTTTCACCAATTAATCATTTAAGATTTATTTATAACAGTTTGACTTATTTGAATATCTACAATAATGACGCACACAACTTACCCAATACAATGTATTCAAGCCTATTGATTTTCTAATATCAAGCTAGTTGATGCAAGGATATAGCTTGTGAAAGGTCTTACTTCACCGACATCAAGGACCCAGATTCTATGAAGTAACGATTTTAGAACTAATTTCAACGTATCTGGTTGACAACACTGCAATATTAAACTCACTCTGTATTCACGTTAAATGTACACGCTGTACAACAAAAAGGTACTCCAGTTTTATCGTGTAAGCTATAAGAAAAATCCCTACGGCAATGAGTACAGCTTTAGTAATGTCGATTGATTTATGCGATACCTTTAGTCAGTATACCAAGATGTCTTAAAGTTATTTTCATCGATAATACATATCTGTATAATGGGTGCTTCTTTTAGTAACGTATCTGGCAAAACAGTTTGCGACGGAGGTTAATCGTCAAAAATTCATAGTTTAGCTTAAATTATTGATATTGAACTAATTAAGTTTTGTTAAGACATAAGTAAACTTAAACTATGAAGGAAAAATATTAATTTCAACTAAATCGAAAAATACAAACCTTTTGGTATCAGAAAAAGTGACGTGACAACGATGATTCGAGTATTTTGGCATGTTCATGTACAATTAATAAAAACATATTGTACGTTTTCATTAAATTTAGTTTTTTGTTTTTGAAAAGCACATCAATATGAACCGTGAACTATGTATTTACGTATTGTCTGTATTATAGGTAGTGGAAGGATCACGCTACACGAGTTTCGGTTAATGGCGCAGTATAAATGAGAATTGGCGAATTGGCAATCAGTTTAAAAAAATGTATTTTATTTGAGTAAGTTGGTTCTGTACATTGTCATGGAGATGGTTGGGGGAAAAGTACTTGTACATTTATTTGATTTAACCATATGTTATTGCCATAATGCAACTGGATTGGGCACAAGTTATGCAACTTATGTAAAGCACTTTCCATAAAAAAAAATACAAAAAAATTACAAGATAGCACACTAAAAATACTTTACAAATAAGGTAGCCAATGACAAGTTGTCGTGCATGCGTTCACTCATTCTCACACCCATACACACACACACGCACACACATACACACACACGTTTATATGTATATATATAAACATTTGAGAGAGAGAGAGGAGGAGGAGGAAGGGAGGGGAGGAGAGTACGGAATATTAATATCCAAGTCTAAATGTAATATAAATGATATCAGTCCATGTGGTTGCTCTTTCTCCATACAAACGGAACTAGTGATAATCAGTTCGCTGTTCATAACGTTCTTCTGTTCAATTGTTCATCACTTCCCGTGCTAATAACTTCCTCCTGTTCACTCCTAGTCTGCTGGTATTCCGTTTCAACTAGTCCGCTTACACAGAGAAGTTTCACCATATAGCGACTGTATATATATGTTATAATTATCGAACATTGATAGACATATGGATTCTGAATGTTTTCTGAACGTGAAAGAGAGAGAGAGGGAGAGAGGTAGTAATTAAAATCGATTAGAACCATGAATGTATTGCTGAGTGTGCATGGGCATTTTGTACCGCCAAAAAGAGGTAGGTTCAGGGTAAGAGGTATAGGTTCAGGGGAAGGGGTAGGTTCAGGGTAAGAGGTATAGGTTCAGGGTAAGGGGTAGGTTCAGGGTAAGAGGTATAGGTTCAGGGTAAGAGGTAGGTTCGAGGAAAGAGGTAGGTTAAGGGTAAGAGGTATAGGTTCAGGGTAAGGGGTAGGTTCAGGGTAAGAGGTATAGGTTCAGGGTAAGGGGTAGGTTCAGGGTAAGAGATATAGGTTCCGGGTAAGAGGTATAGGTTCAGGGTAAGGGGTAGGTTCAGGGTAAGAGGTATAGGTTCAGGGTAAGGGGTAGGTTCAGGGTAAGAGGTATGTATTTGTTAAGCTCACGATAAAGTTTAACTCTTTGTTTTACATAATTATTGCAATTGAAGAAGAAATGGTAGGTGTCTTCAATAGGGAAGCCACATGTACACTGTTGATCATCAACGAAATTAAATCGGTATGTCGTCTTTTTTAAAGCAATTGAATGGTTTCTTAATTCTGTATGAAAATTATTATTTTTCCTATAACCAAAGAAATAGTAATTAGGTAAATGTGTCAAAAAGGTAAATGGCAGAAAACTGCCTGTATTTCCCTAAGTCAGCATTTTTGAAAACGGAAAAAAATATTGATGTTTTTGCACGTTGGTATGTTTTTCTCTTTTACTAATTACGATTTGTTTCATACTTACAAAGATCCTGGACAGTCAGGTATGCACCCCTTCTCAACCCCACATTGTATAGTTGGGGTATGAAGTATTGGCTTTCCCCCCCAGTCTGGTTCGAACACACTCTTGGTAAATTACAATTTGCGTTTAGCTCCATTACATTGATTCCATACATCTTTTAAAGATCCCCGCACCGCTGCCAAAATTGTTTGGGTTTGGTTTGGTTGAGTATTGTTTAACGTCCTATCAACAGCTATGGTCATTTAAGGACGGCCTCCCTTGTGTGCAAGATGCATGCGTGTAGTGTATGCGTGCGTTTTGGGAGGCGGTAATATGTTCGTGTTTGACTCCTTGTGATAGCGCGGAACTGATGCCGACTTTATAGTGCTACCTCACTGAAACCTACTGCCAAAGACATCCAGCAGGACAGCCGACCCTGTAACTACGCACTAGAAAGTCTTTTTTTTCCCCGGCACAAGTATTGCTTTGATAAGTAATTACTGAAAAGAAATCTATACTTTGCGGGACTTTTATGAAAGATGAAATTAACAAAATGTTTGTTGAACTATTGCTCAGCCTTTGCACCGTAATGGGAAGATACAGGCAGGGGTCCAGGTTTTCGAAGAACTGTACGTAAAATGAAATTGTTGATTATCCGAAAATGAACAGCTGTTTTCATGTGTTTTAAGTCTACTTCATTTGATGATTATATAAAACCCCAACACATGCAGTTTTCACTTCAAACAATAATTATGAAAATATTTGAGAAAATAAGATCGTCTTCAAATAACATTATGTAAAGAACTGGAAGGGAATAAACATGATGCCTGGGTATGTTATATTCAGACCGGCACCTATAGTTTTCTATATTCTGTTGAGTTCAAAGGTCAACTTTGGGGGTGGTGATTCAAAATTAATGTCAATAAACGATTTGGGCTATAAAAGCTAGATATTTAACACTTTTCTTCTTAAATTCCACAAGACCCAGGGTTTTGATTTTTGGCAAATAGGTCCATGGGATGTTTCCTCATATAAATGATCTTAACCTATTTGAGCAGCTTATGTAGACCAGCAGTGCATTTTGTTTATTTCGAATATATTCCGTTAAGGTCAAAGGTCATTTTTAGCACTTGATGGGGGTCAAATGTTAACATGGCCTATAATGGATGTTAACATATTCTCAAGTTCAATATGGCTCAGGGTTGCGATATTTGGCCATTAGGTTATAGAAATGATATGCTCAAAAATATTTTCATAAAAGTGAGTTTGGCCTGATTCTAAGATCACAGATGTCCTTTAGTCAGGTGGTAGGGGTCCTTTGGTAATAACATGCAAATGTTTGAGATTCCCACCACATGTCCATGTGTTTTCTCTCCTCTTGCCCCATCCCAAGGCCAATGATCATAACACAGAAATATCGGGTGGTATTTGGAATCTTCGCCCTATAACCATATACATGTATACATATGAATCGCAATTAAGTTTCGTTTGGAAGCATTCTTGGTCCTTGAGACCTGGGAATCAAACGTTTTATAAAGCTCTCAGTATTTGTCTCAGACAGGTTCAGATTCAGGTTGTGTACCTTGCTGGAAACACCAAAATAAAGACAGAAACAAACACGAAATTTTATTGTTTTAAATTATGTTTCTTCCTCAACATTTATTTGCAAACTGTGACGTTCAGTGTGAAAATTAAGTTTTTCCTACATTTACCATACATAATCATAAAGCTAATCAAAACTACAAGATATCCTTGTGTTTAGAAGAGTGAAATGCAAATGTACCTATGTCTATCTTTGATGTCTACAGTACATGTCTCAAATATGGCAGCAAATAATTGAACTCTCCGACAATTCCATGATGATGTGATACCTTCAGCCTGTACTCGGAGTTCATCCAAGAAAATACACAATTCTATGACACAATGGAAGGTCTCATAACACAAAGAATGTTGAATGCTCAGTAAAGAGTTTGCTGGATATGCTCGTAGCCAACACGTAACAAGTATTGGAAATTTCTGTCATCTTGTAGCAATCCAAGGTCCTCACATCGTAACAATAACTCAATTCCTGGAAGATATTCTCGTAGATCGATTCCTGAAAAATGACAAAAAAGACATAAAGAAATAATATAAGTCCTTTTCTTAAAAGCAAAAAAAAACCAATCAATCAAATGTACTTAAAAATTGGTTCATTTAGATCTCCAAATCACATCAGTATGGAAAAAAAATATCTCTTCAATTTTACTAAAATAGATTTCCCAAATTTGGAAAACCAAATTTAAACCATAATCCAGAATCTCAGGACAACTATATACTGTTTAACACCAAGAATGTATTTGGTACTTACCCTCATCATAGGCTAGAGTGGCCACTTTGAAGAAGACTGTATCTTTGACTGTTTCTATAGGCTCTCCGGATTGGTCGACAGCCCAACTACACAACAGACATGAGAACGTTTCACTACAGAGTCCAATTATTATTATTTATTTTTTCACTTACTTTTCAATGAAGGGTTTGTCAATTAATGGTTAAAGACCATATCAATCAACAGATACACATGTATAAACTAGAACTATAAGCCAAACGATAACTAAAATAATCCCACATAAATCCAAATGAGTACCTCAACTAGATGTCTGGACAATGCTCCCAAACAGGGAAGGGCAATAACTCTGTCCATGAAATGTTGCATCACAATGCCCAATATGCATGTCCAGAGTAGAGGGCTCAAACAAGCAAAACATTTCAACCAAGGAATGTGACTGCATACACTGAATTTTGTGATAAGGCTCAGAAAATGAAAGGTAACAGACCAAACACGTTACAAAACATGGCTTTAGTTATCATACATCTGCATATGTAGTTTCAAGCAATTACCATAAGTTGTTCAGAAATGACGTGAAATCAATATGATCCTTCGGAAGATACCCCGTGAGTGAACAATTTACCATTAATTATATATGTATTACCAATTATGGTTTCTTGTCAAAGCATGTTCAAGTAAATAGTTCAGGGGTAACTTTGTTACAGCCTACTCTGTGAAATACTGTCTAAAATACCAAAGGCTGTGGGTTTTAATGACATCGACAAACGCTTTGGTGTAAAGAAGAAAAAGTGTTGCTTGAGCTGTTGTCATGGTGATTACCGTGATTAATCAGTTCTGACATTCATCACATACCTGTTCCTTAGGATTGCCTTGGCCCATATCGTATACCTCAAAGCTTCCACATCAATGTTGGGATCATTCTGTAGGAAAACACATTATAATGCATGCATGAGTATTCTTTAGGATATTTAACTAAAATGCAAATTCATTCGGTCTTTCGAGTAACTTTTGTCTGTTTAGATTCTAAAGTCTGTTTTTGTAAGCTGCAGGTAAAGCGGAAATAATGCTGTCTTTTCCTCATTAAATCTGAATACATTCAAATACGTGTATATGAAGCCAAGTCATGGGCGATCTGTAAACAATTCGTAAAAACTGATGACTCCGGTGAAGAAGCGAACATTCATCACTGTATTATATTACATATATTAACATATTCAACGAGGATCTGCATCAAAAGAATACACAGCGACCTACGATCCAGAAAGATCATATATTGAATTGAACCCCGGTAACAATCAAATGTAGATCTTTTTCTATACTCACCCTGTCTATGTACTGCAGAAGGTCTAATGCTTTCTTAAAATTGAGTTCTTGTTCCTCAGATGACATATCACTGATATACAGCTACAATAAGAACAGAAAATTACAACAAGAAAATGAAAAGCATGAGTACAGTATAGGTAGGCAACAGTAATACATTTTTGTGTTTGTGATTGAACATTATTAACAATTGTGTACCGTTAGGCAAATCTGTCATAATTATGCAATTTACTTGGACAGCTATATATTTGTTTCTTCACAACAAGGCAATGGTTACAATTTAGGTAAATCCCTGCCAATGAAGACTCAAACATGTCTAAAGACGAGCTAGTTCTAAACCATTGATCTAAGTCTGGTTGTATACCATTGATATATAAATCTTACTGTCCTGAAACTATTGGCTAAATAAATAAAAGTCATTAATTAGGCAGACACAAGTTGAGAAAGATACCAAGATGTTTTTGATACTGGTACAGGAAATCTGATGTCTACGCATGTAAAAATCCTATAACTCTCACCTCAATCAGTTGTTCTGGGGAAAGGACTTCCATCTCATCTGGGTCCAGGCCCCTCTGCTACAATTCAACCAAAGCCCACAAATCATTATCTACATTACAGAGTCAGAAAAAATAATAGACAATAAACCAATCCCACTCCTTTTCTCTATAACCTAGTTAACAGCACAATTTCTGGTCTTAAACCGCTCAATTAGTTTCAGTTCTTTATAAAAGCATCACTCTTAAAAAATTACAAGAGGCCTAGCGGCACTTGGCTCACATGGTTTACATAGATTTCGAGCCAAAGACTGCAACTGTTTGAGAAGTAGTGGAAAAATCTCGGCAACTGAAAGGCCAGAGTGCTTTGTTGAATTTTTGGATCCGTATGAAAAGCTTGAACACTTCTTTTGAAGTCACAAGTCATTGGAAGCAGCTATTTTTGGAAAGAAGTAAAAGAAAGTGTCTCAGTAGAATGGTGCCTGTATATCCATTTTCAATATTAGGATTGGCATGATAAATAACAACAGTTGGCGGGCACCTCATATAGAACATTTGTACCAGGTTTGAGTCAATGGCTGCAGCCGATCTTGACATTTAGGCTTGTCTCAGCCAATTAGAGGAGATGGTGGTACCAGGGTTGCAATATTGGATTTTCTAATTGCCACGAAGAGTGAAAGCATTTGTATGAAGGTTGGAGTGTATCCCTGCAACCATTCTTGAGAAGAAGTTGTAAATGTGTCAGCCAATCAGAGCCAATGGCAGCCATCTTTGATTTTCATATAGGCATGAAAAATCAATTCACTTGGTGAATAATCTTTGAGCAATTAATGTGTGCATACAAAATTTCAACTGCTTTTCAGAAAACAGGCTTTCTCATTCAACTGATGTGCTGTGACCTTTGACTGCCAATTTGAGTAGTCTGATGTGTCTGTGATAATGACCTTTGACCTCAGCACATGCATCAAATTATTCAAGGGCCAATGCCTACACTATAATAATGTAAAATGTTTGCACCAAAAATCTACTGTTTTGGAGATAACTGACAAATAATGAGTCTGATGTGTCTGTGACCTTTGACCTCAGACCTTTGTCCAAAATGATATTTAAGAAATTTTCAATAATTCACTAATTTATATGTGTATAAAAGATGTGTTCTGAAGAATTGGAGAATGTATAATTTTTAGATGAAGAATCAAGTTGGATGGCAATAGCTCACATGAGTAATCATATGAGCTAAAAAGACAAAAAAAGAAGGATATCACCCTTTTCAGAGTAAAATGAATTAATTTAACAACTGTTAACTTACATGCAGCACATGGGCTGGTAGTTGTTCCTGGTGGGTTATCAGGTCCAGTTCTTCATTTATTCCTACAAAGAGAGTTTAAAATCCAATTAACTTTTTTCTTTCTTCAATTTTAGCAATGATAAGTAAACTGTATGCTGTACCAATGATCTGACCAGATACCTTTGAAATAAACAGCTTACTTGTACACAATTGATTACATTGTAATAACTGTTAATTTAAAATAAATACAGTTCACAAGTAATCTGGTTATTTTCAAAGAATATCCAAATGTTGAACTTTTTTTCTTAAACTTTATACTTAGTAAACAAAAGCTACTATATTGCTCAGCATAACTTTATTTATTTATTGCAGTTAAACATACATAAAAATATCAAAATCAATTATTTTAATAGGCTGTTGTTATATTTTAGCATAGTTTCACATAAAAATTTAAGCCAGTTCCCCAACTTGTTCTTTTTGTACAAGATATAGAATAATTTGTGTTAAATAAAATAATTTGGCATCAGAATTTTTGCAAATGATTGCACAACAACAAGGTAAATGGTGCCAACAAGCCAAACAGTTTTACCAGTATTACTATTGCCACTATGGCTTTTTGTGCAAATTATTGAAACGCTAATTAAAGCTTTTGTACATAGTTTTCTATTAATACAATCATTGAAGGTCTCAATTGATCTTTTCCCTACACTATTAAAGTTTGATAATGCCCTGAAACTTAAGTGTGCTAAAATAGGTAGGTATGTTAACAGTACTCAAATGAGTACTTTGCAGGTATATTATCTGTACCTGCAAAGTCTTGAATAAGCCTTACCAGTGATGTTAACATCCTCCTCACCATCGTCTGAAGCCAGTCCAGCCAGTTTACTTAGACTCAGCAATGTCTATCAATAATAAATCACATACAAAGATGAAATATGTATATTATTAGCTTAACAGTCACAGACTTTATGATAACCCAAGCAAAATATCTTTGACCATCTTTTATAAACAGCAGTCCAAAAACAAATTGTCCTTACCTTTTTCTTGGATAATGACGTTGTTTCCATCCTCGAAAGTTCTAGTAAGGATTCATGAGCCTAAAATACAAAAGGAAGTGTGAATTTTCAGCTATTTTCTACAAGTGGTATATGAATGTACATGTACTGTAGTCTACAATATGAGAAATTGAAATTGAGGAAGACAGTGAAGATAGTCTACCTGTGTGTATACTACTTGTGTGTATACTACTTGTGTGTATACTACTTGTGTATACTACCTGAATGTGTGTTTACTACCTGAGTGTGTGTATACTACCTGAGTGTGTGTATACTACCTGAGTGTGTGTAAACTACCTGAGTGTGTGTATACTACCCGAGTGTGTGTATACTACCTGAGTGTGTGTATACTACCTGTGTTCAAATGTAGACATGCAACAAATCTATACATATTAAAGATGTCTATATTTCTCCCATATTAACATGCCCTGTCTGTAATCAACTTACGTTACCCAGCAATAGGTAATTTCTGTGGATAGTTGGCTTTGATTACCAACCTGTGTGTGTGGTTACCCAGTGTATTATCTACCCTTGAGTCAGCTTCACTATTGTGTGTAGCTGCCCTGTTTGTAGCCCACCTATGTGTAGGTGTTTTGTGTGTCACCCTGTGTGACCCTTTTGTGTTTTATAGGTGCTGTGGGTATAACTTCATGTGTGTAGGTGCGTTGCCTTTAATCCATCAGTGTGTTTAGCCCAGTTTGTTACCTGCCTGTGTGTTTTTACCCTGTGTGTGGTTGTTTGGTGTGTAGCCAACTGAGCGCAACCCCACTGTGTGTAGTCGCTAGGTTTGTAACCCCCGTGTGTAGTCGCTAGGTGTGTAACCCAACTGTGTGTATTTGCTAGGTGTGTAACCCTCCGGTGTGGAGGTACTAGGTGTGTTACCAACCTGTGTGTGGTTGTTAGGTGTGTAACCTACCTGTGTGTGGTTGTTAGGTGTGTAACCCACCAGTGTGTAGTCGCTAGGTGTGTTACCCACCTGTGAGTAGTCACTAGGTGTGTAACCCAACTGTGTATGGTTGTTAGTTGTGTAACCCACCGGTGTGGAATCACTAGGTGCGTAACCCACCTGTGTGTGGTTGTTAGGTGTGTAACCCACCTGTGTGGTTGTTAGGTGTGTAACCCTCCGGTGTGGAGGTACTAGGTGTGTTACCAACCTGTGTATGGTTGTTAGGTGTGTAACCCACCTGTGTGTGGTTGTTAGGTGTGTAACCCTCCGGTGTGGAGGTACTAGGTGTGTAACCAACCTGTGTGTGGTTGTTAGGTGTGTAACCTACCTATGTGTGGTTTTTAGGTGTGTAACTCACCTGTGTGTAGTCGCTAGGTGTGTTACCCACCTGTGAGGAGTCACTAGGTGAGTAACCCACCTGTGTGTGGTTGTTAGGTGTGTAACCCACCTGTGTGGTTGTTAGTTGTGTAACCCACCTGTGTGGTTGTTAGGTGTGTAACCCACCTGTGTGTAGTTGCTAGGTGTGTAACCCACCTGTGTGTAGTCGTTAGGTGTGTAACCCACCTGTGAGGTTGTTAGGTGTGTAACCCACCTGTGTGTAGTCGTTAGGTGTGTAACCCACCTGTGAGTAGTCACTGGTCTGTAATTGATGGAGCCAGCTGAGATACTTAATGTCCTTGCTTTGTAAGAACTGTCCCAGTTCCTGGTGTCGGTGAGCAGGCAGAGACAACAGCTTACCTAGCTTTCCTGTGGAAACATCATATGTTTACAAAAAAAATATCATTTGCATGGTACACCATCATACCATGACATTGCAATACATTATTTTAGCTTAAGTTTCATAAAGTTCCTTCTCAAATGTTTACTGCATACACATACATTTCTTTACATGTGAATACTGGTGTTATTATGGACAACCCCAAAATCTTATTAATATTCAATTCAAGGAGTTATTGTTGGTAAAAGAATTGTCTAATAAATCTTCATGAAAGCAATATTGTTATGTGTCTTGTCAGAAGCACTGCATGCCTACTTTTGCTGTAATGTTATGTAATGATAGCAGTATGCTTTGCTTAGCTCTTAAAAATACATCACAACCTACCTTCTTTCATATACCAAGCATACAGGATATCAGCAAAACCCTGAAAAATAAGAAGAAAACAAACTACATTGACCTTGCTACCTACCAAGAATGATTAGGCCAAACAAATCATATTTCTTGTTTCCAGTAACCCTACCTTACCCAGCAATTTGTTTATGCCTACCCTAAACTTTTATTTAATAGACAATTTTTCGAAGAAGGACAGCTGAAGTCAAGATCATTCTCTTATATAAACCATGAAAACATATTTGTAAAACCTGCCTACCTTTCAAACATGTTACAGGAAACACTTCTTTTTTGTTTGGCCTTAAGGGAATAAGAAATTCACACATCTGTCTATGTGTCTGTGTATTTTTAGACAAGATAAGTTGTTAGATATTGAGAAATTTAAGTGTCAGTTTTTAGCTACAATAATCGATCTAAAAAGAATAGGACTGTTCCACAATCCAGCCAGTGTTTTGGGAGACAGATTTCTATACAAAATTGTCCCAGTGATCACACAATCCTGCCAACTTTTACTGAAAATAAAGTTATACTTCAAATCAATTTGTCTCACCTTGTCTGAAAACTGCGTGAGGTATCGTTCTATGCGGTCAGAATTGTCCATCTGTTCACACAGCTGAATGAGGATGTCAAAATCATAGTATTTCTCCGCTAGCGATGCAGCAAGTTCCATGTGATCCTTCTCCACTGAAAATAGCAGCAGCACACTTGTGTCAGCCGAGTGAGGTCTAACAGAACCATTTATTTATAGTGATTTGGGTACTTCACTTGTGTTCTTTTTCAAATATGACATCATTACATGGTTGACACGAGATAACTTACAAGTTTATCTGCGATGCCAAAGAGTCTGATCTTATATATGTGTTCTTAATGAATAAACTTTGACAGTGCATTTGTATTGCCTGTAAAATATATAGGAGAACATTTCATAATCAATATTTTTGTATGATATTCTAGTGACTTGAGTATAATTGTATACAAACCCCGATTTTTTGTTCAAAAAAACAAATTCTCTAGACTGATATGGAATTATCTTAAATCCTATAAAAAATCTGTTGCAAGACATCAAATCACTGAAAAAAGCTTAGGATTTAAGTTTAATATATTTTCATGTCATGAACAGAAGCTTTACGTTTTTAATAAAATATTATCTTTCAATAAGAGTAGAAAGAATTTCAAAGACAATAAGAAATTCGATATGTTTTTGACTCAAAAGTTCAGGTAAGAAATTAATTTTAACAAAATACAAGGTCATTTTTTTTTTTGAGGAAAATTTCTACCAAACTCATTATTGAATTACAAAAGTCCTAAATATAACTCAGAATACATTTAAAATAGTTTCAATTATTAAATGTAAAAATCATTTAAAACGAAAATGTTTGCCACAAAAAATGAGGTCACAAAAACCTGAATTAGGTACTTATAATAAACTTTTTTAATATAGTTTTTACTGAAAGTTTCGATAACAGATATTAATTCAATATGTATGATTAGTAATTACACAGTGGTGTGATGAGTTGCTGGCGACAGAGCTGGTACTTCCTGTCGAGTTCGCGGTAGTGCCCCGACCGGTCCTGTAGGTGGTGTAACGATTCCAGTTGTGTACTGAAGCCCTCCAGTACAATGTCCGCGAGCTGTGCTAGCTGCTGACAAAACACTGACATCGTGTCTGCATCCGTCACCTCGGGCATGGTACCATCCAGGGTCACTGCATACTGTAGCACACAATATATAGAAAACAAAAATATTAAGGCTGCTTGCACACTTTATAGAATTGTTAAAAAGAGATTTAACACAGAATAATGTCGTCATCTGAAACAAAAGATGTTGACCAAGCGATAATTTGACAAGTTGAAAAAAACTTGTCACTAAAACAGTGATATGGCTACAACCAACATAGCAATATTGATTTCCTTATCACTACACAAATGTTTCCTCAACTTATTCAACTTCTATTTTATATTAAGTTAGTTTTATAGTATTCTGAAGTATGAAGCAAAGATAGTTAAAAGAAACCGAATTAATCCAACTACTCTTAAATTCCTTGAGGTCAGAAAATAAACATTCTTTGGTAAAGTAAGTTACTGTAATCGAACACCTATAGTGGTCCTGTACATAACATAATACACTGCTGGTATAACTCAGTCATACATTTTATAGGAGATATTAAGAGAAGTACTGACCTGTTTGAGGAGGAGATTTCTGGCCCCCTTTTCTCCACCTTGTGAAGTCCATGGTAGGAACTCCAGCTTTGCAAGTCGTACAGGGTCTAGATCCTCTCTGTAAACGGACATCTTGGCATGCCTGTGTTGTAGGCCCTTATGGAGCATTGCCTACAGATAGATCTCGTTATTAATTTGTGAATATTTGAAGGTGGTCCCATCTCTTTATTAATTGTCTACGGCTATTAAATCTTTAAATCCTTAAAAAATACTGTTTTTTTTATATAAACAGTGGCGCCACCTAGCATGTCTTATATGGGGTTATCCATACTAAAAGATCTCAATTTAGTTTTAATTGGCTCTACATAAATTAAAGTCTGCATCTTTTTTTAAAATGATTTCTGCAAAAAATGAAATTAATGAAAAATTGAGTTTCCTGGTTTAACTTTTTGAAAAAGAGTTTGAACTAATCTAATCTATAATACTTGCAGTCAATACTCCAATCAAGATTTAGTTAAATTTGTGCATAAATCAGAAACGAAATATAACAATAGCAAACCTGTGAAAATATGTACTAATTGGTCATATATATATATATCTCACCTCCATGACAGCATTCACTGCGGCTACAACTGCCAGTACCTCTGGTGTGGATACATCAGCAGCCAGCACTTCCTGTTCGTACTCCAGCAGGGCTGCCAGTATCTCATGTACTTTAGAAACCTTTTAAAACAGAAATAAGATATTGAAACTTTAATAGTGACGAAACTAAAAATAAAGATTCAGACTTAGTATAAAGACAAGAAAAAGAAACTCACAATTGAATAAGATCAAAAATCTGTTCACCAGTGTTAAGTTTCATGTATGAGAGAACAAATTCAATCTACAGTTGAATATTGCATATTAATAAGATAAGCAGATAAAAAAAATTCTCATGACCTACAAAACAGCAAACTCTACAACAAGGAATATGTTTTGCAAGTCACAGCGGCAAACAATGATTGTATATATTACACCAATATAGCACTGGTATGAATGTAAGTACATAAGAAACCTACCTCCCTGTAAAAGACATCCTGGGGCGCCAGGCCCTGAGACACTGAAGTGACATCACGATTCTCAAGGACCTTCCTGATAGCAGCATCAATCGCTCCTGGGTATCTGTTAATATCAAATATAGGCTATATATTAATCGACTAATCCCCTTTTGTATATTATGTTAGTTTAGATAAAAAGATTTGTTTGGTTGCACAAAGATAACAAACTGTCCCAATTAATAGTTTAATTTTTTTTTCAAACTTTCACTATCATCATCCTTATAACAGTTGTATTGAATCCACTGTACATGTCTATGTCATGAGACTGCGATTAAAAACAGACATTTGACCTGTTCATACAGAAATGATCTGGTTATCAAGTCTAATAGTCAAGATTTGTGAAATTTCAAAACTAGTTACTCAGAGTGTAGTTGTCGGAGGGCCATGGCTGCCGTCACCTTCTCTGCATGTTCACACAGAACATCGTGTGTGAGCATTGGATGGTCCCGAGCTGCAACAGTGCTCAGCTGTATACAAAAATAGACACTTTGTACAGTACTAGGTTTATTTACAGAAGGCACTTGTTAAAGAAATGAACAGAGGGAACATAATCCATCAAGGAATGTCAAGTCAACATGGATAGGATCTCAAATTGAAATCATTTATAATTTTTGCCAGCCTCCTACATTTAGATTAACAAACCGTTCATGCCTTTTCATGACATTTGTCATCACTTTTTGAGGTGCATCAATTATCCTTACTGTAATATCCCGACTGAAAATTGTCATTACACCAAGCAGTTTCACTCTCAATATAAGTCACAGTAATAAGCTGTAAAATGTAAAAAAAACAACAACAAAGGTGTAAATATGTGACCAGATTTGTTTACATACCCTTGTCCACAAGCCCACTTTCTTGAGGAAGCTGATGATGTAGTCGTGTGCCTTGAGCTTGTCTGACAGCTGGTTCAGTATAATCAGAGACGTCGTGCTACTGCAGGGATCTACAAAATAACAGAAACCAATTTTACTGTTGGTCTGTCCAAGTTTAACTCGCACCCACACAACACAAACCAAGACATACCAAGCTTTCAGCACTTTAAAGTAAAACAAACTTAACTTAATCACAAACATAAGGACACAAAAACCAAGCTTACTCTCAGTTCTTCAGTTTTACATACCAAGCTTACTCTCACGTCTACAAAGTAATAAAACCAAGCTTACTCTCACGTCTACAAAGTAATAAAACCAAGCTTACTCTCACGTCTACAAGGTAATAAAACCAAGCTTACTCTCACGTCTACAAAGTAATAAAACCAAGCTTACTCTCACGTCTACAAAGTAATAAAACCAAGCTTACTCTCAGTTCTTCAGTTATACATACAAAGCTTACTCTCATGTCTGCAAAGTAATAAAACCAAGCTTACTCTCAGTTATTCAGTAACACAAACCAGGCTCATTTGCACGTCTACAAAGTAACAAAACCAAGCTTACTACAGGTCAATCTTAAGTTAAATATAAACTTTATTTATTTTACAACAATTACTGGTGTGAAACAAAATTATTTCAACAAATTGTTTCAACTTATCATATTAATCACTCTTGTTGGCCCAGATGTTAGCGTGTGGGGGTGTTACTGTGGGAGGAAACCAGAGTACCCAGAGAAAACCCCATGTGGTCGGAAAGGTGACTCCATAACTTTTCACGTCCAATCGGGGAATCGAACCCCCGGCCACTTTGGTAAAAGACAGATGCGCTATCCACTTTGCCACCAAACAATCTAAGTTGAAGCCTATGACATTAAATAGATCGTTAAAGCACAGTTAGATCAGCCAACAGCCAGGTTTGGACAGCTACTTACCTTGTCGTGACTCTGCCCACCTTGGATCTGAGGCGGGGTAATCATCAATCAAGTCACGACTTACAGCCACCACAATCTGGTCCATGTCTGTAATGTTACTATCAGACAAGGGGAATAACTCATCCACACCTGCCTGTGCCAAATCCTGGTGATGATAGAACCAAATTTTGCTTACATCAACAATATCACACTTTGATTTTTTATATTTGTTAAATATTTAAATAATTTGAATTTTTTCAGAAGGTTTTTATCATCTTTGCCTCCTTCAGTTCTTATGAATTACATACATCTATGAGCTAATTCAGACAGATACTCTATACTGGGAAATGTTCACCACAGTTTAAAGGGTGAGTTGATCAATACAGTGAACGTTAGTGAACAACATAATGAAAAATAATAAACATAAATAGTAAAATAGTAATCAAATGTAAGAATTGAAAGAATGCATATTTTGCTGCCTCCCACTAAGTATTTTTTTCCCCTGCAGCTCGATACTAATGTAAACAATCATTTTAGACTCCAACCCCCATTTATTATAGATTATAAGTGCCCCCATACTTTCATATCTGGAATACCCTTGACAGGCTGTCTTTAAGCATCGCTTACCATATTACCCCTCATCGCTGACAAGAAGGCTGCCTTCAGGCGTGATGTCTTGTCCTCACTCAGACTCAACTCATGGATCTGTGAAGAGCTCGCAGCAAGAGCAGACTGAAACAAATAACAAAGTTCAAAGGTAAAAAATCATACATATTAACGAACTTGTATTAAACAGCTGACTAATGCTGTAAATGAGTTGTCTAATGTCTAATTTATCAAACTAATATTTATCCATCAAATAGAGCTGTAAGTGTGTTATTTTAACTTGATGATTACATAATATTTCATCCTTTAGCCATGCTTACCATGTCACTTCTTGAAATATCTGGATAGTCCATTGTAGTATCGATAAGTAAACTGAAAAATAGAAACTTTGTATGGATATACTATTGAATACCGGTATGATAAAACGTTTTGTAGATGTGTTTTTTTTATTTGCATAATTGAAGAAGGAAGACCCCCCCCCATCTTTCTAATAATGAAACTACACGTTTAAAGTCAAATCATAATTTGTTTATGGAAATAAAAAAGCAATTTTTAACACTAGAAATAGTATGGCCTTAGGTCTCCATCTGCTAATTTGTTATTAATGTCAGGTGCAAATATATATTACGTGGAAGCATCATGCAATAATGTGATTAAGGGGCGGTCTTATGATGAGCAATAGCTCAACAATAATTACTCTTTGTGGTCTTACACAAATTCAACTCCATGTTGGGAGTCAAATCTTTGCTTATTGGCACACTTTGTTTCCAAGGCTACAGCTAACCACAGGCTAACGATGCAGACGTGCTGGGTACAGTATACAGTCTACTTACCTGGTATTCTGTTTGTTGGAGGCAGTCAAGCAAAACAGTCCCACGCTGCTGGAGAAAAACACTCCAGTTCCTTCACTAGTTCCTGTTAAATAAAACATGCCTCAGTTCAGCAATCTAGTTCTGTATAGTTACTATTTTTTCTATCTATTTGAATTTTCCTCAACATCTTACACGTGACTTTTTACTTACAAGTGAGTGACCGAGAGGTTAAAAACTACTTTGTGTGTAAAATAAATGTTATCTTTCTTCTTAAATTATTAAAATTGAATGTAATTCATTCACAAAGTAAGTAAATCAAAAGCTTACAAATACAGGGTTCTTATTTTCTGATTTCAAAGCCACACTAAGTTAAAGAATGCTGAACTTGGGAGTTATCCTTCAGTCTGCAAAATTAAAGCTGACAAAATAGTCTGGGGGATAAAGAATATCCTGCCAGTTCCTGTTTTGCTCACCTGCCCCGATAATCATTCCACCTGGTGCGTGAAACTCTGTGACTTCGGAGGACTCTCCTACAACAGTAAATATTGATACAGAAAAACTGTCACACTCTGGTATCAGACACAAATATCCACCCCATAATAATACATACACAGGTGTAATTTAATTGAACAGTGATATTATACCTTATCAGGTAGAAAATTGTACTGTTTTCTCCCACTGCTGCGTATAAAAGATAGACATGTCCAATTTGAAACCCTCATGTAGTGATAGACATGTCCAATGTGAAACCCTCACGTAGAGATCGACATGTCCAATGTGAAACCCTCACGTAGAGATAGACATGTCCAATGTGAAACCCTCACGTAGAGATCGACATGTCCAATGTGAAACCCTCACGTAGAGATCGACATGTCCAATGTGAAACCCTCACGTAGAGATCGACATGTCCAATGTGAAACCCTCACGTAGAGATCGACATGTCCAATGTGAAACCCTCACGTAGAGATCGACATGTCCAATGTGAAACCCTCACGTAGAGATCGACATGTCCAATGTGAAACCCTCACGTAGAGATCGACATGTCCAATGTGAAACCCTCACGTAGAGATCGACATGTCCAATGTGAAACCCTCACGTAGAGATCGACATGTCCAATGTGAAACCCTCACGTAGAGATCGACATGTCCAATGTGAAACCCTCACGTAGAGATAGACATGTCCAATGTGAAACCCTCACGTAGAGATAGACATGTCCAATGTGAAACCCTCACGTAGAGATAGACATGTCCAATGTGAAACCCTCACGTAGAGATAGACATGTCCAATGTGAAACCCTCACGTAGAGATAGACATGTCCAATGTGAAACCCTCACGTAGGATGTGTGTAGTTTCCACATGGATGAACTCAGTCATCTGTACTATGATGACAGATGACAGCATTTTACTATGATTTCACAATGGAAAATGCATCAAAACCTTGTTTGACTGACTGTGGCAATCTTGCCCTCAGCAAGTGACAACACTTCAAGAACATTTGTACAAGCTTGTCCTGAAGGTTTTGCATGGATCTTTAAATCTGTGGTACACCTATGGTATACTGTACTTTTTTTCTGCTCTTTCAAAATATGATCTTAGTTTGTTTATATGTTACAGTATCTAGAAATTTTGCTATATTTAGTGTTGCATGTGCATTTTTTTGTGTCCTGTTTTACCCAATTTTTGGTTCAAACTGTGATAGAAAAAGAGTCAATCATTATGACGGTATGTGGGATATAGACATTCTACTTTCGGGTGTAGAATTTGTGTCAGAACTGAGACTTTGCCGACAATAATAGACTCTATTATCAGAATATGCAGTTTTGAGATTGATTGCTATTTAATGAAACTCAACTAGAAATGTTTAGACTTGTTATATTCATAGATTACCTTGTTACCTTGAGAAATATTAAACTACCACAAACATAATCCTAAATACTATATGCCTTTGGTTAAGTCAGATTCTGAGTCTGCTGTATTCAGGGAATGTTTCGCCCTAAGCTGGTTAATCTGTATTCACCCAATGTTTACTCTACCTTCCACTTGTGATTACGATGTTCATTATGCTGACTAATGTTAGCTGTTATGATAAATTTGCCCTTGTTATTGAGGGTGAAAATGGCAAAAAGTTAAACTGCAGCGAAAATTTCCCAAAATATATATTTACAGGTAACCAGAGAAACACTGTAGAGCCAGGTTGGTGTTTTATTAAGAACAATTCAAAGAGAAGTGTAAAATAATAATAATGATAATAATAATTTAAGATTCTTATATACTGCTTTATCACAACCTAGTTCAAAGGTCGTCTCAAAGCGGTTCACAAATTATTATCCGTGGTTATAGGGCCTTTGCAACCAGCAAACACCTTTCTCAACTCCCTGGGAGCATACAGCCCGTGCTGCCATTTCGGCACTCACAGCTAGCATTCAACAATTCTAGCACTGCCCAACCATTTACTCATTTACAGCTAAGTAGACTGGAACAAGCGGAGTAAATTATCTTGCTCAAAGATACAACACTGTGCCGTGCTGTGACTCGAACCGGCAACCCTTCGGTCATGAGCCTGGCGCCCTACCACTAGACTACCGTGCCTCCTTAAAATAAAATAGTCTACAGACCAGTGTCATACCTGATTTAAACAGGACCCGTTCATCATCGTACACATAGGACACCCCTGAAATGGGATCAGGCACCAGTAGCTTCAGGTTCTGTAGCTTCAGTTCTATTTCCTCCTATAACATAATTACATTCACAATAACACTGCAAATAAGAGCCTCAAAAACATGGAAACTTCAAGTCTCTTATTTTACTTCTTGTTAGATTCAATTAACAGATTCCTTTCGATATAAACAGGAGCAGAAAATAAATAGTCAAACTTTTCAAAGCTGGTCTGTCTCAAGCCCAGATAGCCATTCTATCATCGAATTAACTCTAATATTTACCAGTACAAGTAAAAAAATATATACAATAATGCTATTTTTTTTCCATTCACCATTCATCAAAGTTCTAATAATTTTTTTGAGACCTCTCACCTTATGAATCACAATATGTATATGTCAAGATATTTTTTACAAGTTCTTACACATAGTATATCATGTTTCACTGACTCTAGTTGTGACCAACAACCACCCACTTCCTACCAAGTTCCACTAACTGATCTCAATATGTTTGATTCCCACTCACGGTGTAGTTTTCCTTGTGGTCTAGGATCACCAAATCTTCAAATCCTGAAGGTGTCCCATTGATGTCAGTATCAATGGTAGCTGGAACACAGAAACAGTCAACTCTTCACATCACAGACCAAATGGCTTGAACACATGTATATGTACAGACAATGTGTTTTTACTTGTGAAGACTTGAATCAATTCTTCAATTTCTGTTGAATTGTTTTCTTTATCTCAACTGGTCTTGTGCAGTGAAGACTATGTAAACTGATGATCTTATTGGCCCTGTTTCTTGTCTACGAGAAAGGGATATTCTAGTTTTTAACAGTATAAAAAAAACCTGTCTAGTCCTTGAGTTTAAACAGCTGGTACGTGCTGTAAAGTAACAATGAAGTGACATTTGAAAGGACTAAATCACAGCAGTGAATGCTGTATTTCAATATAGCAGAAAAGAACATCTGTCACCCTTGCGTTATGTATTTAATATTCTGTTCCGAACAGACACATTTCCAAATTGTGTAGGTTCAATATCAATACAGTATACACATAAACATTGTAAGGTAGTCAGATGTTTAGACTGGTACACTGTAGTCGCGTAAGTTATGACTGGACAGGCTCCATTCTTAGTCTACTATCCTGTTTCAGTTTTTGATTTCCTTGTGACGGTTGAAACATAAAGAGGAGGTTAAACAGTACACTCAAGGCAATGATGGTCCACAGTTATACAGTGCTGATTCTAGGATTTGTCCAATGGGGGGCCTTGGGCCCCTTCAGTATGAAATAGGGGGTGCTTCAAGCAGCTGAGGAGCGAAGTGACAAGGCAGGGGAGGGCTCGACATCGTCTGCTCCAGTTTCACTGTTTGGTTCGCCTGTTTCGGTTTCAGATTCGTCGGTAACCTCTCTCTCATCCCTGTCTAAATGGTGGCGGTTTGCCGTGAAACTAAACTCAAACAGCGTTCTTTTCCTATTCATTTAGAAGCTGTACATTCACCTTAGACCTAGTGTAGGTCCAGTACGAGGTCGCCGCACGTGCGAGAATGTTTATTTTAAGAGCCCCATTCTGATTGGCGTAGCTTTAATAAATCAGCCAATGAAAACTGTCATTTCAAAAGACGTTTCGGTCTCTTGCACAACATGGCCGACTTTGTTATCGTACAACGATTGAACCGCGAAAGAAATAAATGAACGCAAAGGATTGTCTGAAAGGGGGGATTTATCAAAGAGTTGCGGCATTAGGCCCGCACTGAGGTTTGATTTATGCGGGGTTCTTTATATTTTTGCGGGAATTCCGCGATCCCGCGCCCTAGAAGCAACACTGGTTATATCTCCGCTATCACCAATCGATTAACTCGTTTTCTGATAAAATCCCTATTAATATTGTCTGACTTCTCAAAACAGCGATTAGATAATTATACAGTTAAAACATCTGCCTCTCCTGTAAATTCGCAAAAATAAAAAAAAAATGAGAAAATTAATTGCACCAGTACATTTATAACTGTATGTAAGTGTTCTACAATGTACCTACCTAGTACAAAGTACAGAGTCAGGGAAACCTCCATATTCACACCAACCCCAAGAATCAAGACGCCAGATCTGTTAAAATAAATGTAAACATATCACATGCAATAACTAGTCTAACATCAAAAAGTATGATTTCTAAAGCAGTTCCCTAGCAAATAGATATGGTGGAAGGAATGAAATCACATACAAAAGAAGTGGTTAAGATATCATGCTTATTTTGGTAAAACAACTGTCTGGTATTACTATAAATATCCTCTAACAATATTTAGTCTTGTCGTCATCAAACATTTACTGAACTAACAGCTGTTACCTTGTGATCTGCATGTCAATTAGCCATGTCTTCAGCTGGGTTAGATGTAGAGAGTCTTGGTCCTACAATCACACAAACAAAAATAAGTATGGCAAAGAACTTAAAACTGACACATAAACATTATGTCAAAGAATGCTCTCAGAAGCAGATTTTAATTTCTTTACAAAGTCAGGGTTGAATTGGTGAGTTTAGTAAGTTAAACATGGAAAGTAACACTCAAACAAAGAAGAAAAACTCCAATCTATGTGGGTTTTCTCTGGGGTCTCCAGTTTCCACCCACATTAAGACCCTCTGTGCGCTAACATCTGGGCCAACAAGAGTGATTAATATAAGTTGAAATAGCTTATTTTTATAATTGTTGTAAAATAAATAAAGTTTACATTTGTTTATCAATTGTGAAAAGTTTTTGATACAAAGGATGACAGTTTTTCTGTCAGACTGAACACTTACCCAAACTTTACGTGCTAAAGACTCTCGAAACATTCTGTCAACGTCTACCTGGTAAAACAACTGCAAAAAAACCACCAGGATTACAACTACAGATATCAACAGAAACCAGGAAAAAAACATATTAATTCATTCAAATATTTCATCATCTCCCTTAAATACAACATCATCTCTTTTTTGGACGTGAAAAATATATATAGTTATCGTAAAGAATGTATCCCTTCTGCGATACATACCAAAGCCTAAGGTTGTGTGAGAATTAATGTATCTACCTGGTACATGAAAATATATTTTAAGCCAGCCTTAATTAAGGTGTATTACAGACTGTATACATATATATACACCAGCCATAAGGAAATTAAAACAACTGATGACAGACTACAATTTCCTTCTCACACACTGGCATGACTCAGATAATTTGTAACAAAACAAGTCTGTCTGATGATGTTGCCTGTAAAATCAGCATAGTCACACCTTTTCTGTGTTGCCCTCCGAAATCGTCCACTTTTGTAGCTGAGTACCGGTCAGAACAAAGAATGGCCTCTCATCTTCTTCCTCACTTCCTGGTACAATGGCCTGTAAAGTCTATAACGAAATAACCAAATCACCATTCTCAGAAAGTTTACAATAGTAGGATAATCATCTTGTCAATCAATCAAAAGAGAAATATTACTACATGTAAAAACTTTTGACAGTACAGTAGTCAAAATTTATCAAGTAGGCTTATTAATTGTATAAACTGAACTTACTGCTCCAGAAGGTTGCATGGGTGATGCACCGAAGATGAAGGAGGACATTCTGCGTCCAATACCAGCAAACATTCCCTGAGAGGCTGTCAGTGGGATACACACCGGACTGGTCTGTAGACATAAACAATCAATTATCACACAGGTGTTTCAGTCAGTAAAACATATCAACTAAAGCTGTTACAGCAGACCTCTATGTAACGTTAATGTCTTATTTTCAACATCCCTGTTTACAATACTAAATTATGTTTTATTGAAACATCCTAGTAATTCGTAACAAAAAATTCATGAAACTTTTTTTTTTTTAATTTAATTTTTTTATTTTCAAAGATTTTCAGAACATGTACATTATACAGAACATCACATCAACACATATCCACACATTCACACATATCTACTATTGAAATTATCAGCAACCTCATCCTCCTCATCATCCTCATCATTTGATGCTGATTTTATACAATCACCAAGACACATTCAATTTTCACACACTTTCACACATAGAATAGACAAAACAAAGAGATCAGACTGCCAAATCTGAGAAGATACTAAATAAAATAAATAACTGCTTTGAGTATTTGTCAATATTTTGTTTTTTAAAGTAGAGTAACAACTAATAACTTAATATAAATAGTCATAATACTCAGGGTTAGTTGAGGTCAAGCTCTACTAATTTTAACCATTTTTCCCATTCAGAAGTAAATCTTCTAAGGCCTTGTTCCCCTTTACCAAGAGCAATATATTTCTGAACCTTATAGTAATCTTTAATCGAATTGACTAAAGCCGTCACATTAAGTGACTTATGAAAACATCTGGTTTTGTATATATATTGTTTAATGAACAGAGTAATTTCATTATCAATTCTGGTATAAATTCCAGTTTGGTTGATAAAACCAAAGATCATTGATTCTTTATTTAGTGGGAAAGCAATAGTGAGAGCACTTAAAAGACTTTCAAAATTGCTCAGAAATTTTTGTACTTCCCTGCATTCCCATAAAACGTGGGTAATTGTCTCCCTTTCTATGATACAAAAAACACAGTGTGGGTTATTTACAAGTCCAATTTTGCATAAATAAGAATTGGTTGTTAAAATATAATGATTAATTCTAAATTGCAACCATTGCAATTTTGTATTTTTTGTAACCCTGAAAGGAATAGCATATATTTTCCCCCAAGTTTCCTGATTATAGTCGAATATAGTTCCCCATTTTGTTTGAGCAGTTATTGATGCATTATTTCTGAAATTCATGAAACTTAATGAGTAATGCAACATAACATTGTAAGTTATGAACACTTATAAGATAGCTAAGTTCAAATACAAAATTAGGTAACATAAGTTGAAGTACACTTAAGCACAAACCTGGCCAGGATTATGAGCAAGAAGAACCAGAGAACTTGTTGTCGTTGCCAGCAGACATCCATACGGCTGTGGAGATACAAACAAAGGTTACTTCCTTTACAAAACGACAAATTTCTTTTCAGTTGATTCAATGCAGATACATAGAATTAGCTAAAATGAATTTTTCAAACTAATGACATGTAAGTTTACAAATTAATTAGTAAAAAAAAAAAGGAAATTAATTATAAAACTGCCATTTTTGTATTATTTTACCTGAAAGTTGATGACACAAGCACACTCCTCTCCCCGAAGTTCTGCACTAATTTCTGATGATGATCCTTCATATGCCACGTTAGCCCAGTAACGTACAATACCCTCTGGTGAAACAGCCATGCAGGAGGCTGAATGGGCATCTGTGATGCTGGGAACGACACACACACGGTCAGCATTGTGGGCTAGGTCACTGGGAGGAAGGGTCAACTCCTTACAGAACACACCCTACAAACAGAAATTTCCACGGCAGATTTTGAATTAATGACAATATTAGTGGATATGCCTACCTGACCTTAAGTTTTGGAGATAAAATTAATCACTTTATTCAGAAGATATTTTAAAATTCACATTCACAATAAAGAGAGCAAAGCTTGGAGTATAGATAACTAGGATATTGTCATTTAATGGACTATGAAAAGGCCTTACCCTGGCAGTATGGGACTGTTTGTGACGCCATATAAACAATTTTCTACCTCCCACAAGCCACGCCCATCCAGAAGGATCAATTTTCACTGTGATTTCTGTGTGTCCTGAATACAAAAAAAAGTAAGTTAATCACAAGTGATGCTCATTAGACAAATTATTATGAACTGTAGTGACATGAAAATTGAAAGTCAACATCAGCAATCTGTTTATGTGCTCGTGTATACTACTTTCTTCAAGAATGGTTCTACAAAACACAATCTTCACATCTGTCAACACTAATCCAACACCCATAAAATCATCCTTTATAGATGGTGAATATGCAGTACGAAACTTATAGTGCGTCAGTGTTTAAAGTTATATCTACAATTAACGTATTCTGTATGTTATGAGTTGTAGAAGTGCCTGTACTCACGGTCAGCCAGGGACAGGGCCTCTGTGATGAGCACTGGAAGTGGAAGACCATAGCTCTCCACTCTGTGGCCACCCGTCTCCTCCAGAATCTGGGATGTTTGTAAACTACGATTACTTTGGCTTCTGTAACAAAGATAGACTTCTTGAAAGTCACTTTCTTAAACACAATAACATTCCAATGTATGTATCTGCTTAAGATTTTGATCGCAATTAATAATTGTCATATTTAAGAAGGCTCCACACTTTCACAATTAACCAGCAAAATTTGTTGAAACTTTCATATAATGGTTTTGCAACTATGCTGAGTTGATTTTATGAAAATCTAAGCCTTCCGATAGTTTTTGGAGAAAAATACCAAAAAATTACGTTGGTTGTTTGTCAATTTTAAAGGGGGGGGCACATCCTCCATTTATAGATATTTAATTCCCTTGCTCTAGAACAAGTTTGGTTAATATTCCTTCCTCTATTTCCCCTAATTGGCCCCAACATCTGCCCCAAAGAAGGGGGTCCACACACCTCAGTTTATACAAACTTTATCCTTTTGTCCCTAAGCATGCTTCAAACTACGTTTGGTTTAAATCCCTTCAATTGTATAGTGGGAGAACAAATTTCCTCTATTTCCCCTATTTGGCCCCGCCCCTCTGCCCCCAGAGGGACCATAACCTCCCTTTATACAAACTTGAGACTCCTTTGTCCAAAGATGCTCTAGAACAAATTTGGTTAAAATCCTTCTATTTGTTGAGAAGAAGAAGATTTTTTAAGATTTACCTACCAGGTATTTCCCCCCTATTTGGCCCCGCCCATCTGCCCCCAGGGGAGCCATACCCTCTGTTTATACTGAGAACCATTTGGCCAATGATGCTCCTGACCAAATTTGGTCAAAATCCTCTGAGCTGTTAGTTGCGTTTTAAAGGAAAAAAATGACGGATGCCGGATGCTGCGCCATGGCATAAGCTCACTTGGCTCTTCGGGCCAGGTTAACTACAAGATGAAAAGAGGCATCGCTAATTTAACTCTACACAATTATTTTATCTATCGCAAAATATAAAAAACATATTTAAGTGTTTTTTATTGAATTTGTACGGATAACAGTGATTATCTAGGAGCTAAAAGCAAACAGGACACAAAGATTCGTTCATAAAGAGTGAGAAATTGAACAAATTATATACAATGGCTTTATAATTAATTTATTTTTACATTTTACAATCATTTTGATCGCGTTGAGAGTTGTCCTCCTTGCAAAAAAAATCTGAACTTTTTGCAGAGGGATTGAACTTACACAATGACAGTTATTATAATTATGATATCAAAATTGTTCATTTATTGTTTTTTTATGGAACCAAATTACTCTCAGTTATGTACACTTTGGACATCATTCCACAGCCCGATGGAACAGTATATTTACATGTCAGGTACGTATACATATGTGACCAGAGGCTATCACATGATATGCCGTTCTCACCCGCACCCACACATGCATTTTATTTCATATATATGATATTTTACATTGGAAAAAGTGTTGAATCAAAATTCTTTTAAGGGAGACACAACTTCATTATAATGTATACCAGGTTTCAAAGAGATCATTCGAAAAATGTAGGAGAAGATTGCTGGACAAACAAAAGTTTACGCCGGACGGTTGGTCAACCCCATACCATAATACGCCCGTCAAATTGAAAGGCGTATGAAAATGATTTAATCGATAGAGCGAAATTAGCTTAACAGCGAAAATCTTCACGACATCCAGCTTGTGAACTTGTGAAAGCATGTGATATGCACATGTTAGGACGGTGCACTCAGTTTATGTCTTTGTTTTGGGAGGGTTATTCCTTCAGTGCGTGTGATTACACATTTCCCAACAAATCTCGGCTGTGATAAATTGTAAAAACTTGTGCCCCATCCCTTGTTTAATTTTATTTGCAACAAATTTATGTTTAAAGCTAAATTCTGAATATTGGCAAGCGTGCAATTAACTTCTGATGATGAATAATTACTGTTCAATAAGTTTGAATACGGACTTAAAAATCATATAACTTGGTTTCATAGTGCGGTAAGAAGTTGCAGTTGCCTGACGGCCCCGCTCTGGGGGCCCCTTTGGAAACTGTTTCATCTCGCTCGCACCACTGGTGTTTACTGCCAAGTCAGGTGATGTTATCGGGGCTATTTTTAACAGGGCTTTCCCGAACAATTCAAGTGGTCAAACTGGACATTTGGAACAGACTATGAATATGGGAATAGCGAGGTAACATAAGTGGAAGTGCATACAATACATACATTCATTAAAAAAAAACGCCTTTTCACGTGATGTCCGTTTAAAAGTTCAATCCAACAAAAACATTATTTTCAGTAAGGTTGTCAAATCAAAAAGGTTTCATTTGCTGTGATATGTAAACAGTTTAATAGCTGTGTTGGTTTGTGTCAGTCAAGAGTTTGGAGGACCACATTTCGAATCTGGCTGTTGAAATTTTACTTTCGTGTTACATAAAGACATCAGTATGTTTCAAATGATATGCATATAATACCTTTCCTGAAACCTATTCTGTAGTTGAAAGGACATGTATTTACTTTCTACTTGTGTATTGACGTTTGTGGTAATTATAAGTTAACACCATACTGAATTTATTTTATCTATTCTGGAGTGTAGCAGGGACGTATAGTGAAGGGGATTAGCAACTCCCTCTTTGCCTTACCAATTTTATGACACGTCAATCTAGACTTACGCCACGAGCGCCACCTATCTCAATTTTGACAAAGCAAGATGGCGTCGATACCGCTTCGTTAGATACAGAAGTTGGCGTGAAAACAAACCAATCGCGATAAGTGTTCTTACGTCTTTTGTTTATCCCATTGTTATAAGCTGATTGTATTACTTATAATTGATAAAATCTGTGGTATCATAGTAATTGATGTCTCGTTTTTGGGGTATATTTTTCTATTTTTAAACGCGATGTAACGCGTGGTTCAGAGTATTGTGGTGGGCGTCGATA